ACTACAAAAACCAGGTCAACCATTTTTTTAGTGGCCTTGGAAGTCTAGGGTATACCCATTATCCACTCACTGAAATGGAACCAAACACCCCCTGTTTGTGATCTAAGGTTTCTTTTGATTTGGTCGACCGGTACCGGAGTTTTTTTTTTTTTTTTTTTCGGGTTCGGTGATGGTGACTGTTCTAAAGCACCGGACGCACCGCACCGGGAATGGGGCAGGGAATGGGGCAGCTACTTCGGTTGGTTGGAAGCAGCTCAAAGGAATGTTTTTTTTTCCACGTCTTGAGCGTCTTCAGCTCTTCCGGGGCTGCCGGGCGACAAGGGCGCCCCGCAGCGAGCCCCGCGAGGCGACCATGAAGAGAAAGGTCAAGAAGGGACTCTTGCCGAGTGGCTGGGAAGCTTTATTCCGAAGCGTTCGATGATTGACATGACTGCCTTTGGCCTTCTATTTGGCAAACAGACCTTCTCTCCTACGCAGCGGAACGACCATCGACCGGATCAGCGGAACGAATGACCTGAATCCATCCATCGACCCGGTGACCGGTCTGGGGACAAAGGTTTGGAGACGAAGTGGTGACGTCTGGTGTTGGATAGAAAGCCGGTTTCCTTTTTGGTCCATCCGTCTGACGTGTCCAATCGCATGGATGATGGGTAGATGGTATGACGTCCGGCAGCCCTTGCGGCAGCCCTTTGAAGGACACACAGACACAGAAACGCCCCGAGAGGTCGGGAAGGCGGACATGACATGACATGACCTGATCTCGCAGTGCACACCAGGGGGTGCAGATGTCCATCTATTGATGTTTGGAAGGGTGAGGAGGTGCGGGTTGAACAAGTGCAAGTCCACAGTTACCATGAACGTTTCTGACCAGGACTCCCATTTCGGGGTGGTTAATGGACACCCTTTCATCACCTCTAAGCTTAGGGGCTATGAATGGACACCCGGAATCCGTGGTGCTGGAAGTGATCTGTCACGTGCAAGTCAGTCCTCTTCAATCAACGAAACAGGATGTTTGAAACAGGACCCGACACTCTTCGCCCGGTGGTGACACAGGACGTTCTTACAACTCTAAGAACCAGGCGAACTGAACAGATCGACACCCGCGAACGGAGTTTCTTTTGGATCAGCAAGGACCTTTTTCCACCAGCTTTGCAAGATCAAGGCATATCAAGGCACCAGGAGTCACAAGACGGGGTGCCGAACTTGGAGGTAGTCGGGGTGCCCAGCTGCTCCACTCACTGGATGGGACGAGCCACACAACCCAACTCCATGTGACCCCGGGCAGACCGAAACGACGCCGACCCCTGCGGAGCCCCACCACGGGGGTGAAGCGCCCAGGTGGAAGTCGTCCGCGTCAAATGTTCTCGGCGCAGGGGCACCAGGTCGTTGAGCCGTGGAGGCCGGTCGATGAGTCCTGTATGTTTTTGAACACTTTGAGGGTTGGGGCCGGAGAAAGTTGAAGAGAGTTTAGGTTTAAAAGACATTATACACCATGGAAATCCAGTCCCGACCAGAAATGAAATACGGATGTATCCCCCCCCATACAGCCTATGTAAAGGATCTCAATGGCCATATTTGGAACAAACAATTGTTTCCCAAGAGAGGTTGAGAGGCCAGAACGTTCGGACCCAGGTCTGTGGTACAGGATGGGCGACAAGACGGGCTGTGAAAAACCTCAGCCCTGGTCATGCGTTTGGTTGTCTTTCAGGGTTCCCAGGATTTCCCATGAACAAAGCCCACCTGGAACGCAGCAAAGTCGGTAAGTCTTACGGCCCGTGTCACGCACGACGTGGCGCAGGCACGAGTCCGGCGCGCGCCAAGTCGCCGCGAGTTCGGCGTGGCCCGGGTCGCCCCGAGAGCGCGGCAGGTGGGACAGCAAGCCTCAGCTGTTGGCACAGGCACAGCGACCGCACTTCAATGGCTTCGCCTCCAGCGTCGCTCGGGCGAGCTTGGGCGTGGCGTGGGGACATGGAGCTGGAAGACAGAGGGTGCTTGTTTTTGGAGCGGGAAGCATCCCAATTCTTCCCCTTTTCGTTGCTTTTTTGCTTGCACTTATGGTTTTGTCCTCCAGCATGACGCACAACTCGCCACTTGGAGAGTATTTTGCGAAGGGCAGTAAGTGCTTAAACCCTGAGACCCTGAGACTTCAAGTTTGGCACATTTTACCCGGTCGTGGTGGATTATGACGGTGGGGTAAAATGAGTCAACATGAAAGTTCAGGGTAAGCTGCGCGTAAGCTGCTGTCAGCCACCCAACACCTGGAGCGAAACAGAGTATCCCAGGGGTATCCGAAGCTATCTCATACCGTGACAAAGAAGCTTCAGCTTGAAAAGACCGAAAAGACCTTGAAAGTCTGTCGGCAGCACCAACAATTCACGCAACCGTGGGAAAACGAATCAGAAACTCTACACCTCCGTAGCTCGTTCCTCTGACCCGGTTCAGTAGCTCCTGGACCCGACGGAACATGGCACCCGGGCCACCGGTCGTCCCACCGAACCGACCCGGCTTCGGTACGAAAACGGAGGCCAAAGGGGAAAGAGAGTTTAGCCGTGGAGGTTCCCATTTTTCTTCGGAGTGTCGCCCCCGCACAGAAGCGCACTTGCCGCACTTCGGTCGATCCCTAGACTTCCAACCTATTAAATTCATAGGCCAACTACCGAACAACTACGGATTTTACACTACAAACACCAGTGAACACACTTTCTTTTTTTAATGGTCGAACGGAAGTCGACAGGGTGATGTTTCTTTGGAAAAAACGTTTCGGATAGCGCCCAACATATCTTCTTCAGCTCGGGTCTGAGGCTTTCACACCGGTCCAGGATGGCCACTGTATTTCAAAACATGGTCTGACTGAGTTCGGTGACTCGACTTCAGGAAGTTCCTTGACTTCCCATTTGCTGCTCCAGAAACATGTTTTCTTCACTGAACTTCATGGCCGAAATCATCGGCGCCTCCCCCTGTTCTTGGGTGTTTCCCCGCCTTTCCCCGCCTTTTTGGTGTTTACCATGATCACACAGCGAGACGGTGCCGGTGGTGGTGGTTCCGAAGTCGATCACAGCTCCGAGGACGTGCAGTTGCCGAACCCGGACGACAGCGCGCTGCAGCGTTTGAGACGCCAATTGGGCATCCACTGAGCGCGGAGGATGGACGGATCGAGGGTCGAAGCAGAGGAGCAATGGGTTCGGATGCATTCCGAGATAGGAGTGGATGGACACAAATGCCATAGTCAGCTGGGGTGAAACATGGGGATCCTAGTCAACAATGAGGACTAGAAGAGACTAGAAGACCTTTAAACATAGCTGGCACAGCTATTTTGACCCTCTCTCGGAGAGAGCTTCTGAAGTTTCCTCTTTTTTTTTGCTCTGGCATAGGTCATGAGCAGCTCTCCCACTGGTGGAAGAGGAGTGGCACGGATGCAACACGCATGTGCTTCCCAACAAGGGGGGTCAAGTTGCGACCGTGGTTTTGTTTTAATTGTCGTGGGCTGTGGTTCAAGTGGCGAAGCTTCGATGTTGTGGAAGATGGGTCGAAACGCAGGGTTTTTGGCTATGCTTCGCTCGTTCTGCTGGGGTGGTTCCCTTTATATGGAAGTGGATGACTTGTACCCTACAAGTCCAAGAAAAAACACTTGTGAAGTGATATATTAAAAGAGGTTGAATAATTTTATAGAGTATCCTAGTTCGGTACCCCTGGTTTTCCGGGTCCGACTCGTGACCTGGTCACTCTCCACCTCGGTACGGCGATCTTTTGAGCGACTGAAGTCAGGTCTCCCGTCGTCAGACCAGAACCCACTGGACTCTTCCAGAGGGTCTTCCGTTTACTGTCCTGGCGCTGCCCGACCACCGCACCTTCGTCTTTCGACAATCAGGAGGGGGCCCCTCTTTTTCGATTCTACCAACAAATCCAATGCAATTCCAAAGATGGATGTTTCCTTGGAGTACATCTGAACTTCACGAATACTTTCGCCACAGCGCACGTTCTTTACCACGCCCGTAGCGGCGTGACCCCGAGAGCTTCGGGGGTCGGAGCTCCGTCTGAGACGGAGCCAGAGAAACAGCGGACGGCAGCGTTGGTCAGAGAAATCGGAGACCAAGTGCATGTGACGTTGCTCGGATGTGCCGTGCAGTTCAAGCACAAAGAAGGTGCTTCTTTCCTTTTTGGAGCCAGACATGCCAGTCAATCAAATTCCAGGTGCGACCAGTTCGCGTTATTTTGAAGCAGAATTCTTTTTAAATACATTTAAATACCATGCACTTGAAGGGAGGTGATTTGAATGCCTGTGGAGACTTGGTCTTTTTTTCCGCAAGAGTTTTGATCCTGTGATCGTGTCGACTCCTTCGAACGATTCCCTTGTTCCAGAGCTATAGAAGAAGCTTGTCCCAGAGTCTACGTAATTGATTTCCTAAGAGCAACATCTACCATGGTTCCCGGAACCTGAGTCTGACCAATATACATTGGACCACCAACCACCCCCGAAAATGCTCCAACTTCCGGTCTGGTCTGGTCCTATGGATGAAGTTCGGCAGACACTTTGCACAGTTGGAAGACCTGTAGGTACCAGGACTTCCAAGAGGTGTCTATTGATAGCCCCTAGAGGTGCTTCGGGGTGTCCAAAAACCACCTGTCGGAAGGTCCTGGTATAGGACCTGGCTCTGTATGACCCCTCCCTTCTTTTCGCCGGCATGAAGGGCGAATCGCTCCATCTGGGGCCTTCGGCGGCTTTGTCTGTGACACTTCCGGTTCCCAAGTTTCGCAGCCTTCCTTTCGAAGATTTGAAGAACGTGTCGTGAGCTGGTTTTGCTGTAATCCTTGGGTAAAACATGGTAAAACCATATAAGTAAATCCGCTAAATTAAATATGATTGTTTGGTCACAACCTCTTTCCTCTTCCACTCGAACCCTCAAACCAACCCAACTCGGGCGCCCGCCTTCCCCAAGCACAGCTGCCAGCTCGACCACAGCTTCCGCATGCTCGCGCGGGGCGGTCGGCGATGTCGCCAGGTGTGGACAACACCATCCGAATCTTGTCCTTGGAGCGGGAGCGACCACTGAAGCAGCTCAGTGCGCAGGCGTGGCTCGCGGCGCCTCACGAGCCGTAGGTGGGGCGGCGTATCTTTTGGGAGGCGTAGTTTGAGAAGGGGTTCCTCATCAATCACCTTACCTTGACTGTTGATGAACTGAGACGGGGTGTTATTCATGTGAAAGCCAGTTGCTGTTTAGATGCCCCACTTGGTCGTTTCAAGGGCTTGTCAGTGAGTTGCAACGCTTCCCCATTGGATTGACGCTTCTGTAGCTCTTGGCGCTCACTTCATCAGCCAGGGATGCCCTTTTTACGCAAAGACACACTTTGTATCTTTATACCAGGACCCTCCAACAGGTCACCACCTGCGACTTTTAAGTCTCCAAAAGCCACCAGAGGAGACCTGTTGGAGGGTGCTGGTAGGTATATAGCGTATATACCTGGATCTTCCAACTAGGCCTCATTTCTGCATATGTTCATCCAACCAGCCGGGTTCGACAGAACCTTTGGCATCTCTAGTTGGAAGATCCAGGAATATGTGGCGCAAGTGCATCCGTACTTTCGACTCTCCCAATGGGCCACGGGCCATGGTCACCCACTGGGCACCCACTCCGTCCACTTCCCGAACACGCCACACGCGCCACGCGCGCCACGCGCGCCACACGCGCCACGAGCCGATGCCTGGAAGTTTGGGGGGTTGAAAGCTTCGGCCTTTTGGGAGGCGGTCGCAGAGCGGTCTTCGTTCGCGCCCTTTTGCGCCCAAGCGAACGCGCGGCTTCCTCCCCTTTCCGACCGGGGTCCGCCTGGCGGCCGGCGGGTCGGTCCGGTCGGTCCGCGCGCGTCGCCACCCCGGCAGGCCTTGCAGTCGCCGGCCGAGAGCGTGTGTCTCCTGGAGATGAAGAACTTGGGCCAGGCGGAGGCGCGAACCCGACCGGTTTCGGCGGGGTGACGTGCCAAGTTGGCTCGCATCTGGGGGAAGATTGTGCCTGGGAAGGGCGAGAAAAAGAGCCAAGAAAATGCATCAGATTCGTTGCATTCTGGTGCCAAGGAGGGAGCAGGGAGTGCTTGTTGAAAGGGGTTGAAGATGGTTGAAGTGTAGGGCCTTTTTTGATGAAAGTGAAAGAGGTTTTCATTTGATGGTTGGGGATGGAGAACTTGAACCTTCCTCAAAAACTCGGCGCCGGCCGCTTGGGCAGCTAACTTTTGGGCGAAAGCTGGTGAAAGAGAGGCCCTATGAAGTGCAGTGAGTTCGACGATTCTGAGCACCTAAGTCTAAGTAGGAATCAATGCCTCGGATTGCGCCTTGAGATGAAGTTCGGCAGACGCACACTTGGACGATCTACCCCAGACATGACCCGTGGGACTGCCAGTCCGGACTGCCGAGTTTCACGGCCAGGGGTGGTGCTTAACGGGGGGTCGACCTCTGGGGCAGCAGAACGGACTGGCAGTCCCAGACAGGTCGTGTCTGGGGAATCTACTGTTTTCACACTCCGCAGGACGTGCACAGCTTGTTCTTGAGCATCGGCCTGAGTGGGGACACTCAGATCTGATCCGCAAAGGTCGCTGCTGGGGAGGGTGGACCCCGCTGCACGAGCCACAAAAACCCAGATCTGTGGAGTCGCCGGCGCAAGGAGATTCTGGTGGACATCCGATATCTACCAGCACCACGGAAAGGGTGTCCATTAATAGCCCCTTAGAGGTTAAGGGGTGTCCATTAACCACCCCTTTGGGGATCCGATATCTACAGCGCCGTCCTATCCAACTGATCATCAATTTGAGACGTTTAAAGAGCTCGGAAGGCCCGTGCTCTAATCCACGCCAAAGACGTGCACCTCTTCTGCCTTTTGGGGCGGATGGGTTCCAGCCGTTTTCTTCGCACAACTCGTCGTCCTGCGAGGCAGTGGAATCCTGATCCGATCCGTGGTGGACTTTGCCACTTGCTTCTCCGTGAACGCGGAGGGAAACACGCACGGACCGAGGAAACAACGACGTGCACGGGACAGACGGAGGATGGTACGCAGACGCCAGGTCTGCACCAGACGAGATGATCCGATGTTCGGGTAGAAATGGAGACGACTTTTTTTGATCGTGGCAGGTGGTGACGATGGTATTTGCATGGTATTGTAATTCCCAGACGCTCCATGTATGGAATATATGCCGATCAGTTGGGGTGGGTTTGGGGGTCAATGTAGGCATATTCCATACATGGAGTGTATGGGATTATTTTTTTTGGACTTTGTCAATGCTTTACCATGCATGAACGAATATGAACGGGTCCGGCTTTGCACACGGCTCCCGGCCTTTGATAGAGATCACACAAAAATTCTTCATTTAATCCAAACACCAGCAGTCACAAAGGGGTGCTTAATGGAGGTTAGGGGTGCCCATTATCCACTCACTTAGGGACTAAACACCACCCCTTTGTGACTGCTGGCATTTAATCCAAAGATGATCGAGGATTTCGAGGAACTTGGCGTTTCTCATCGCTCTTCTGCCCCTCTTCAGGTACATAGGCCCGACATCCCGGCTCAACATGCGCGTTTCGGCTCAACATGCACCTCTTGAAAAAAGAGGGCCTTCCACGGCCAGGATTCTTCGGGGTTGGCAAGGATTAGATCGAGACGTCTCGTACAGATCGACGCAATACAAGTTCGACGCCTCACAGTTCGACCTCCACGTGTTTTCCTCACAGTCCGCACTGACCCCGATGCGCCGTCCCGCCGTCGCCCTCGCCCCCCCCAGCCCAAGCTCCGGACACTGAGGTCACGGGCACCCTGAGCGATCAGCGGTCCCGGTTCCTGGGCGCCAAGGCGGTGCGCTTGCACAAGGCCGTGACCCGCGGGGTGCGCGGGGAGCGATCGGCGGTGGTGGTTTTGGGCAAAGGCTTTTGTGGCGAGAGGTGTGGTGTTTCGTTATTTTTTTGGGGGGGAGCTGAGAAGTGGTGTTTGTATGTGTTTGTCCTTTTTTTGGGGGGGGAGGTTTGAGGACGTGGTGGACACATTGTGGGGGTTGGGTTGGGTGAAAAAGAGATGAACATAATTAATATACCCAGGGCCCAGGGCATTCAGTTACCACTATAGCTGGTAACCAGGGGTTCCACTTGGACTAAACCATAGACCGAACGAATCAGTTCCTTCGTACTCGTGGGAACTGCCTGGGATTTCATGGGATATCAGTGTTCTTGGGCAAATATGGACGTGGTTGGATTGGGGTGATTGCGGTGCACGTGTGAAAGAGAAGAGCCAATGGTTGCAGTGCGCGACTTCGGAGACCCTGTCTGACAGCTCTCCTGGAGATTTTTTGGGCGGGGACTGGGGTTGGGTTTGCGTGGTTGAAAGAGTTCTGAAGCTCTGCAAAAAACAGAAACATCTCACCCTCCTAGATGCTAAAGAGGGAGAGATCTACCTCGCAAATCATCGCATCCTATCCTTCGTTTCGTCCCCTGGAAGGTGGCCGGTCGACCATGCCACTTGATAAATGCGCTGCATTTCCGCCGGTATCAGTGGTGTTGTGATGCACCTAGCTGCACCATTCACAGGCCGGGCTGGTGACCCTTGATATCATCCTAAAATGTCAGACCCTGGGAGGGCCTACCCTTTTTGGGGCTTTCAATATACACATCCCCTGAAAGGTCGATCAGACGTTCGGTGGAGAAACTCCTGACACCTTCAGCTCGGTCATATCGTCGGTTCTACTTCGGGCATCGCCCCCCAAAAGGTCGCCAGCTCCAACACCCTGGAACAGACGCGACCCTGGACCCTCCGTTCAGTAGGGGCCCGGACCCGAACCAATCCCTAGGGTTTTGGACCAGTCGAGCTGTGAACGGAGCGTCTGGGCCCTTCACCAACGACCAGAACGACCCGAACGACCACGTGCCGGACGCGCCGAGAATTGCAGGTCTCGGTGCAGGGCATGTGCGGAGCCCCGAAGAACGACGAGAAACCACCGGGGGGAGCGAGGGTTGTGGAGGGAGTGTTTTGGTTTGTTGCGAAGGGAGTCGAGTGAGATATGAGTGGATGCAGTGGGACACCAAGATAGCCTTCCCCTAGGCTTCCTGGCCCACCATTAATTTAATAGGCTTTATGGAATCAACTAAGGATTTTACACTACAAAAACCACCAGCACCCTCCAACAGGTCTCCTCTGGTGGCTTTTGGAGACTTAAAAGTCGCAGGTGGTGACCTGTTGGAGGGTCCTGGCAGGTGAACCATTTTTTAAATGGTCTTTCACGGAAGTCTAGGGCTTCCGTTTCGACCATGAAAACCGTCCGACTGAGTGGTATTAAGGTCCGGTGATGGGAGGGCTGTGGAACCGCCTGAGTTATAACGGTCTCCGAATTGACAGGACCCAGACACTCCATGTGTGCCATATAATATATACCAGGACCCTCCAACAGGTCACCACCTGCGACTTTTAAGTCTCCAAAAGCCACCAGAGGAGACCTGTTGGAGGGTGCTGGTACCCTAGAAGTCCAAAGACTATATATGTTGACCGGCTGAAGTAAAGGAAGTTCCCTTTAAGGTCCCCTAAAGATCTTTCTTTTTATAGTCTTTGACTCCCAGGGTAAATGCTTGGAACCCGGCGCCAGCTTGAAATCCTTTACGGAAATGGTTGGGACTGGGGAGCAGTTCCATCCATTTCTTTCTGCTTGGGACTGGTGTTCCAGCAAAATCACTCCAGTGATGTATGCCTACATTGACCCGGTGTAGGCATATATTCCATACATGAAGCGTTTGGGGTATGACTGGATTGGTACGGTCTCCGTGTGCCGCTCCATGCGCCAGTGGCAGGCCTGCCATGTTGGCCTTGAGCACCAAGCCCTGGTTGTCCTACAACTTTCAGGGCAAGAACCACTGCCAGGGACCCCCAGGTGATGAATGAAAATGCCGGAGAGTCTCTGGGATGGATGGAAGGAAGGAGGTGGGCCTCGGCAGTGACTGCTGTTGGAGTCTGCCCCCTTTTCGCGTTCCAAACACGCGTGTCTCTCACCGTCCCGCGAAAGAAGGACGCCGACCCCAGCGAAATCCGCCGGCCGCGAGCGGGGAGCAGGGGAGAAGAGTTCTGGGGAGCAGGGCTTGGAGCGAATCGGTGGGTGGGGTGCGTGGTCGAATTGGGTGCGTGGTCGACACCTGGATTCTAGGCGTTGGGCCACGCAGCCCTGGTTTTGGGGGGTGGACGATCTTCATGTTTACATGACCTGGGATGACTTTTGGAAGGTGTTTCTATTGTAGACTTGCCCAACACCTTTTGAATCATTGAAGGTGGCTTCTGAAAGACTGCGGGAACATGTTGTTTTTCAATGTTTTTCAGAGAGGTAGCATCAATAGCCGCTTTAGCTTCAAACAGCTTCACTAACCTGCTCGCTTTCACCGTGGCTACTTCGAGCTAGAGGCAGATGAAATATCTATTCTTTCCATTGATTCCTATCGAGCGCTCCATGGGACTGCCACATATTACGATCAGGCCAGGGGTGGTGCCAGGGGGTCTTTGCGGTGCGGCAGAACTATGGTAGTCCCAGACAGGTCGCGTCAGGGTAATTATCCCTGACACTTTTTCGGGACTGGCAAGAACGAAATCCTCAGAAACGGCCGAGTTTCGGGGTGGTCGAACTCCTGGATCTCCGTGACCCACGGTGCCGGGGCCACGGTGTTTGAGAGTCGTGAGCTCATTGGTGAGCACCATCCTGAGTTCACGACCACTGGAAGCACGGTCATGAGGAAGACGTCCAAATCTGCGAAGGACTGCAAGAACATCTAGAGTTTCTCTTGAAGAGTGGCGGTGCCGTTGGGAATTGCAGTTCTTTATTTGGTGTTGGCGGCTCCATCTATGTCGTGGAGACAGTTCAGGATGCCATTAAGACTCAGTGTCTGCTGAAGGTGTCCATCTCAGACTCAGTGGTGCACATGAAGAGCTATTGCGCCTCTTAGAGTAGCTCTTTGAGGCGCAATAGCTCTTTATGTGCACCACTGAGTCTGGGATGGACACCTTCAGTGATCCACGTTGGGAAGACTCACCTGACTGCCGTGAAGCGTGCTGGTCGGCGGCCCAGTCATCTGGTCCTCCATTGAACCAGGGCTATTACAACAAGGATGGGCGGCCACGGGCCACGGCATCGGACATTGCAAGTCTGCCCACCGATGTGGGACGCTGCAGCTCTGTCCGTGGACCGTTCGTGGCGCAGGTCCGGCGCAGGTCTGTGCGTGAGCGTGGCGGAGATACACATATCCCAGACATTCCCAGACACTCCATGTAGAGCATATTTACCGATCAGTTGGGGTGGTGCCAGGGGGGTCAATGTAGGCATCTATGGCATACATGGAGTGTCTGGGATACACGACCCATGGGACTAGAAGATATGCTGCCCCAGAGGTCGACCCCCCTGGCACCACCCCTGGCCTTTTCTCGGCAGTCCGGACTGGCAGCCCCAGGCGGGTCGTGTCTGTGATGTACGGTATACGTCATTCTTCCGGTTCTTCCTGTACACCTCTTCGTGTGCCAGGAACGTGTGCCGCGTTGGTCTGGCACCGAGGCACTCCCATGAGCTACGAGCAGTTGGAGTACACCTCCTCCTTCGCCTCGGAGCAGTGTCCCGAAGGAGACCCAGTCGCGCTCAGAGACGGCGTCGCGCCCGGCCGAGGCTTTCAAGACACCCCAGCTGAAGCAAGCAGCTTCGGCTTAGGTTTTTCTTCCCAAGTGGTGTAAGATCCTTAGGTCGGTGCTTCAGTATGTTGGCCAAATTCATGTTGCTTAGAAGCCGACCGGGACCGGGAGATGGCGGAGACGGGTGCGACTGGCCCTGGGGTTGGGAGACTCGGTGTGGGTCGACCGTGAACTCCAGGGGCGACCGTTGAATTTGACCGTGAAATCTGGTCAACTGAAGTGAAATCTGACCCAGGGCATCCAGGCAAACCACGATAGCTGGTAACCGGTTCCACTTCGACTAAAACCATAGACTGAACGAATCCCTTGTTCCTTATATAGTGGTAACTGGGATCCACTGGGTGATCTATCTACCTGTGGCACAGGCTGGCACACCCACCTGATTGATGTTCAATTTCCTAGTGGTGGAGCTGGGTTTTGTTGGACGAAGCGAAGCTGGGGGCTGTCAGATGGTGAAGCACTGGAGTTGCGACTTCCTCTGGGTGCCAATTCCGCGTGCGCTCCGAAGCAGGTTTTGTCGCCATCTCCGGCAACACGCTGCGTGACTTGGTACGTAAAGAGGAGGAGGAGAAAGAGGAGGAGGAGGAGGTGGTGGTGGTGGTGGTGAAAGCCAGGCTTGGTCGTTGAGAAAGTTGGAGGACTCATGAGTGCGGCACTTTCGCCAAACATTTGAAGGGTGTAAATGGATATTATTATTGCATATCTCTTTCACTCTTGATTTTGCAAACATCTGTTGCACCGATAAGCAAAACATTGATGAAACAACAAGATCAAGCCAAGATTAAGATTCATGTAGAAATCCTCATTATTCACCAAGACTAGTGAATTCCCCAAATAGATGAATGGTGGACGCATTTTCCAATACATTTTCTACGTGTGGATCTACAAACTTCTATCTTGACAGGGGACCACTAATAGGACTAGCCTCATGAACCCGGTGACGCCCTTCAGACCGGGATGATTGATCCAGGTGAAGGCTCAATTGAGGGGAACTGTCGAATGAGTTAGCTGGTGAAGCAAATTATGAAGACTTGGCTCGGATTGAAGTAAGAATCAACTAAGAGGTACAAAAAGGATGTAAAAAGGGTAATTGAGCATGTGGTTGGTTGGGGATGACACACCAAACCATGATTCTCTTCCAGGCAATGTCCTCCTCCTCAAGTAGGAACATTCAATTCAACAGAACATGAAACTCCCCTCGTACTTGTTCCTTTTGATCTCTTAAAATCTTAATTAACGACATGTTGACGAGTCCTCCTCAAGCCGACCCCCTTTTCTTCTCCCTCTCCCCGGTGCTAACCCCAACCCCCGTTGTTCGCGCCCCTCCAAAAAGCAACCAAACTACACACAACCCTGTCAGACGCGACTCGCGTGATGTCCACGGGAAACCGCACGAGGCATCTTGGCGTGTGAGCGCCTCGGTGAGCTCTTCAACCACACGGCCTGGACGCCCAGAGTTTGCAGAGTCTCCGGGCGGCTCCGGGCGAAGGGTTGGTGTCTCGCGACCTGATGGGTGAGCTACCAGCACCCTATAGGACGATCACCAGGTCACCACCCTTACCTGCGACGACTGATATAAGTCGACTCAAAAGACCTCCAGCCATCGGAGACCTGGCAGGTCGACCGGGTGGTAGAAGATAGATCATTCAAAGATGCGAAGAGCAGAAGAACTGGCGAGAATGAGCTTCTTCTTTTAGTGTCGACGAGTCATTGGACAGTCGACAGAGGTCCGTTGAGACCAAGTGACCGTCCAGGTCCGTTGAGACGTGAGACGTGATGCAGTCCGTTGGTGTCTTGTTTGAAGTGAGCATGCAGACGGCCGTCCGACGCCATTTTTCTTTGAGTCCGTGCCAGTCTCAAACAGGTCGTGTCCCAAACAGGTAGCTGTAGCAGCTCTGCTGCAGAAAGACTGGAGAATCGGTGCTAGCTACTATACTGTAGCTATAGTAGTGCTAGTCCACCTCAATGTACTATGCCAGTCCCATTGTCCCATGGATGGTCTGGGTATTGGAAACCCGGCCCTTTCTTTGGGGCCCTGGCTCTGCACCTTCGCCGATCGATCCAGGTGATGAACCTCTCCTACACCCCACGGCGCTTCGTGCCCCTGCCGCCGGCGGTGCTGCCGCCGCCCGGGCAGCCAACGACGGATCCCATCATGTGCGGCGCCCCGGGGAGCGTCAGGGGAGCGCCACGGGGGGTCGCTGCCGTGCCGTGCTTGGGGTTCGGGACGACGATGGAGCATCCGACATTCCGGGTTTGAGTGCCACCCAGGTCTGTGGAGAGTTGTGTGTTTCTTTCCAGCCACGACACTGAGACATGTAGGGCGCCGCCAGGAAAGTAGCGAACCTGAGGAGAAGGTGGCAGTGGATCCCTATAGGGTTGAGAGTGCAGGGACATGGGACCTTACACAGCCCTAAGAATCCGGGCCCGAAGAACCAACACATAGGGTTTTGAGGGTCCGGACCCCTGCGAAGGTGTCGGGTCCGACCCCTGCGAGAGCCCGTACGGATTCTTAGGGTGCCCAGACGCTCATGGGCTCTCATATGGAGGGGTCGGACCTGAATCCTCTGGAGGGGTCTGGGGTCTCAATTCCTTAGGTTTTGAGGGACCAAGGGCTGTTTGGAGCAGTCTGGGTGGTACCAAAAAGGCCCTGGAAGTCCGTTCGATCAGAATGGATCAACACCTGGCGCCATGATCGCGTCGTGTTAAGAGGTGTAAGAACCGCTTGTCTGCACCCGAGACCTGCCAGGTCACCCATTGAAACCTGTGCACGGGCCTTTCCCAACCCTCCATTTCGGAGACCGAGTCGGGTGCTGGTATCGGTGGTGGATTCCGACCAAATCGATGGTGGGCCCGGCAGCCATTGAGTCCTGGCTGCTCCTGGCTGCTCCTGGCGAAGATCCGTCACACTCTTCGAAGGTTTGTTCGGAGTCGCTCCCTTTCCTATCATGAACAGTGGGCACCTCTCCGAAGTAGCAAGTTCGGCAACTTGGGTCTTAGCAGGAAGTCAGAGCAAAGTTTCAAACTGCCCATCTCTACCAGCACAGAAACCCTGCCAGGTCTCCGAGTTTTGGTGACTTTTGTAGACTTAAAAGTGGACCAGGTGGTGACCTGGCAGGTGTCGGGTCCAGGTAGGAGCAGATGTGTCTAGTGTCTGGGATGACATGGGATGACCATCCCATAGACCAAAGAAGGGTTCTTTGCATCCCACTTTTGGCATCGAGAACGGTCCATTCATTGCAAAGAGTGCCAGTCGTGTGGCTCATGTGGTCCACAGAAACCACGAGATGGCCAGCAAAACGCTGGCGGCCGTCCGCGCTGAGAGCGCGGCACTGGTTTCCTCCAACGTCCGGCAGACGCGACCCGTGAATCGAGTGGGTTTCAGGCTCCTCCCAGACGCGACCCGTGACCCGAAAGCTCCGTTCCTTCGGTGATTTCCGGTGACTCCCTTGCGGTGGCAGCGTGGGTCGAAGCCAAGCAGAGGGTGGCACCAGTCGCTGATTGCCAGGGGTGGCGCCAGGGAGGTGGCGGCAGTCCTATAGTCCCAGACAGGTCGTGGGGAGTGAATTCGAGGTCAGCCCACGCACTCCATGACTGGTGTCCGCGACGACGTCGCACCCATGCGGAGCCGCGACATGCGCAGACGCTGAAAACGGCGCCGTGCGGCGTGGGACGGACTGCCGCCGTTTGGTACCCGAAAAGATCAGCCAGCGGATCAAGCGACATGCGACGCGCGTGTCGCGCCGTGAGATGCCGGGCAACGACCATCGAAAGCCGTGCTGCTCCTGCGCCGCCGCTGGTGCTCTGCTTGGCTACAAAGTGCTACAACTACAATCCCAGACACTCCATGGTATATATGCCATATGCCTACATTGGGGTGGTGCCAGGGGGCTTTATGGGGCGGCAGAACTATGGCAGTCCCAGACGGGTCGCGTCTGGGAATAAGATGTGGCGTGACGTCTGCAGCGTGACGTCTGCAGCATGGAAGACTACATTTCGATCACGGCCGCATCGGCACGCTATAGCCGGGGCTTTCACCCTCTCCGACCACGCGACGCGATAGGCCGCCGATTCTTGTTTTCAGGTATTGGCTTTTGGTGGTGGTCCTGTTTTCAGCCAAAGTGTGCAGTTGTAACTGCGAGGTCCTTGGAGAACTGTCAGGCTACAAGAGATTGATGTTGAAAACCGCTGAGCACGTGGTCTATTTTGTGTCATGCAAGACCCAAACTATCCATGTGGAAGAATCACATGCACTTACCGTTTACCAAGTCATTTACACCCTAGCTTTATGACTTATGACCTTTACGGAACTAATCCATATATACATGGTTTGGGATGGGAAGCCAGAATATCAAGAGGGGTTCTTTTAAAAACGACCCAAATTGGGTGGTGCTGGCCTAGACAAGTCGTTTCTCTACCAGCAACCGAGACCTGCCAGGTCTCCGAAATGGGAGGGCTTTTGCTGACTTAAAAGCCGCAGGTGACCTGCTGGAGGGTGCTGGTACAAACCTCAAGTCTTTTGCCCAAATTGTCGACAAAGGGTCCCAGAACTTTGTTCAAGGACATGATGTTGACGCTGACTGTTGACGCTTCCCACCAGGCTGGCGATTTTGGAGGCGGACCACAACGCCTACAACGAGGATAACGCGTGTTGGACAAAGAACTGGAAGACTCTTCGGGAAGATTGGGAAGAGAGGCCACTAGAGGCCATCCGCATGGAAGGCCTTGAAATGTTGCCACCCCACCTGGCCCCACCGCCCACAGAAACACCCTTGACCACCACAGCAATGGCATTGGTTTTAAAGGGACTTTTCGCCTTTGCCACCAGATTGCAGGCTTTTCCGGATGAGCTGCAGCAACCCTTCACAGGTTTTTCGGGAAAGCTTGGAGAAGCTGTAGCCAGATTTGAGATTTCATTGACTGACCTGTTCGTGTTGATGGGTGCTTTGGCAATGGACTCTCAAAATGAGGGACTCTGGCAGACTGACACCAACTGTCTAATTTTTTTAAAACCAACCTGCACGCCGAAGCACCCGCCCCAGTCAGTGTCTTTTCTGTTTTCCGTGCAGCACGTCGTGGTCAGGAGACGAAAAGAGAGATCCGAGCAGCTCTGAAGAAGATTCGCCCAAGACCTCAGTGATGGACGGTATAGCTGCTGCTAGTTCCGTCAGCTATACAGTCAGCGACAGTTCGCAGCCAAGTCGCAGTCGTTCTCGTTGCCACAGCGAGTTCGGTTTCATCATGTTTCATCATATGAGCCGAGTCGGCTTTTGTTTCCATCATCAGTGGCCACGTCTCGCCGCCACCGTCTGATGACGTGTGGGTCATGTGTTTGCCACGACATACCGGTCACCGACCCTCACGACCCTCTCCACGACCCTCACGACTCGAGCTTTCCTGCATCCGTTCGTCGGACGGTCGAACGGACGGCGTTTTTTGGGCCCCACGAGTCCACGAAGTCAGTCCCCGCGTCGCTCGTGCTCGCTGATCGGACTGAGTTCGCTAAGCTAGGCTGGCTGTCCTGAACACCTCGAACTGCCCCCGCCAGGGGTATCAGGCTCCAGGAACGTCCCTAGCCCAGAGACTATATATGCCTACATTGACCCTCCAAAACCACCACAATGTGCATGGGCATATATAGGCAGACACCCTGGAAGTCAAGTCGACCATCTTGAAAATGGTTGATTCTGGTTTTGTAGTGCAAAACCCTTAATGGTTGTTCGGGATTCAGGCCATTAAAACAATGGTGGTTCGACTTCTAGGGTACATGGAGTGTCTGGGTAGTGGTGTGTCCTTGGATTGGGGGCATCACCTCTGTTCTCCCCCCGTCCCCTCCGACCCGCACCGACGACCGGCTCGTCGTGTCAGGTCTCACCAAGACAGTGGACGACGAGGACGACGTCAAGGAGGAAGACGATGAGGAAGATTTGCCCGAAGCACAGGCGAGTTGATGTGGTGGATGTGGCGGTGGATGTGGCCCTGGTTGGCTTGGTGGTGGTGGTTGGCTTGGGGTGATTGAAAGGTCGTGCTTTAAAATGGGTCGATGGAAGTGTCGGGCCGAAGGTTGGGGTGATGTTCTACTATAGGACCTCCAGGGTCGCGTCTGGGTCAAATCCTGATCCGAAAGCCATGGGTGCTTCGTGATCCGGTCTTGGCCCATTTTCTTGTTCGAACATCAGACGTTGCCAGGCACTTGGACTCCTTGAACTCCAGTGCTTTGGCCTCTGAACTAGAGCCGCAAGCCCCCCCCTGCTTGCGTCCATCCGGTTCAGGGGCTGCATGCCGGAACCCGGAGGGCAGACATGGTGGGTGCCAAAAGATCGATCGGTCTGTGGGGTGTGCTGGAAACTTTTGCAACTGCCCAGACGCGACCAGGGACCCTCCGTTCAGGGACCGGGGTCGTCCGGACCCTCACATCCGGTTTGGTTCGGGACCGGTCGGCCTATGAACGGAGCGTCTGGGTGCTTCAACTTCCAGTGCCTTTCTCGTTCCCTCCATTTTCCCTGCCGGACGCTGTTGAAAGGACAGCTGTTTTCTCCCTGGTTCCCTACTCAGATGTGCGAATCCACATGAATGCCACGACAGCAACAGCCCCTGGTCCTCCCTACTCGAAGTATTGGTGGATCTCAAAACGGGCGTTTTCCACGGATCTCATCGAGTCATCAGGTGGGCACCTTCAAAGCGGGCGAAGGTAAGTGGGGTTCCTGCGTGCGCATCGCACGGGGGTCCCAGCGCCATCACACGGCACGCGTTGTTGGCGTGTAAAGCTGGGAGTGGGCAGTCGTGCAATTGCTGGAGTGGGTTGGACTGCCTATGGAACAGGCTCAGGAGTGCGACCACCGAGGGAGACCTGGAGGATTTGGCAGTGTTTCAATTAATAAGCCAAGGTGAAGAAACACCAGGCATCTATCGGGCTCCATGCCAACCCAGGTGTCTCTATACCTTTACTTGGACCCTCCAATAAAAGGGAACGCCTGGCTCTTCTAGCACGGCGCCATGTGCTGATCTTCCCAAGTCGCTATTCTGGGCAACGAAACGTCTCCCCTGGCCTTCTCTGGGTCCGTTCTGGGTCAGGAGTTCCTGACAAAAATTTTGGACTTGGTCATCCAAATATAGCACTAATACCCTAGACTTCCAAGACCATTTAAAAAATGGTTCACCTGGTTTTTGCAGTGTAAAATCCTTAGTTGATTCCATAAAGCCTATTAAATTAATGGTTGTTGGAAGCCTAGGGAATAGCTATACTATACACCAGGAGACTGGACCTGGGTCGGAATCACTTCAGTTCCCCCCATCTCTCTTCCGTGTCCTCCCAGTCTGCCCGGGCCGTCCGCACTCGGTGCACGTCGGTGCACACGTCGCGTCGCGTCGCGGAGAAGCTGAACACGGCGGGCCCAGGTGAATCCATCGAGCTTGACGCCGGTCTTCAAGCTGGACCTGGATATCGATGAGGTGCGGATGGCGCGGACGGCGGATGGCGGACCGGTGGGACGAGGGTTTTCCGATTCGGAACCGCCCAAGACCATTAGAAGAAGGGGAGACACGGAAGCCACACCAGAATCGTGCACGGTGAGTGTCGGGTTCAGCGTGGGGTTTTGGTTGGGTGCAAGGAAGGAAGTTCATGAAAAGACTCGAAGCATGAAGCATGTGTGGTTTCCAGGGGAAGGGGAAGAGCCTCCGGTCGACCATGAAAAGGATGGTGGAGTCCTGGTGGAGCTGGTTGTTTTGTACCCTCGCAGCAAAACCGCGGCCCTTGCAGCAGACCACAACCCCCCCCAGAAAGCCGTCGGACGATCGCACGTCAGCCTCACTGCCAGGTCACCACCTGCGTCGTCTCCATTTCAGTCGGGCTTTTAGGACCCTCTAACAGTCTAACAGTCTTATGGTATCCCTAGACTTCCAAGACCATTAAAACAATGGTTCACCTGGCTTTTGTAGTGTAAAACCCTTCGTTGATTCAGCAAAGCCTATTAAACTAATGGTGGTTGGAAGCCTAGAGGTATCTTATGGTCTTAGTCTAAAAAGATGCATCCTCCGTGATCCCTCCACGTGTTGAATCGTCAACGTTCCGTTTTTGGAGAAGCAACTCACAGTTCGTCCACCATGGATCGGATCAGGATTCCACCTCGGAGTCAAACGACTTGTGCGAAGAAACAGCTCGACCCCATCCGCCCCAAAAGCGGTTCACGTCTTTGGCACGCTGCGAAGAGACAGACCTGCGAAGAGGTTCAGAGTCCGTCCGTCGAAGCATTTGACGGGGATTGTCCAAGAGCAGACATTGCTGGAAGTCCAGTGAGTTGTCGAACGATTCGATTGGGCAGCACGGGTTGTATATGTTCAGGAAACTCCTGGAACTGGTGGGTCATCGAAAGACCCTTTTAAACCTATTTCGTCGACAGGACTCCTAGCGGGAAAGTACATGGAGCAGGAAATTGGAACAAGTCGCGAAGAATGTACAGTAAGATCTCCAAAGACCAGGACCTTTCCCCTATGGCATTCGAAGGCTTTCCCAATGGCACTGATCGGTACACCAGCGAGCACCAACAACGACCTGCACCGGAAATCGAACAAGACACTTTGCATTCACCCCTTTTCAACCCCCACAAACATCGGTCAAAATGGCAGTCCCAGACAGAAAACCTCTGGGTTTTGCGAAGGAATCGGGTCCAGACCCGGACGTCCAGTTGAAACCGTCAGTCCGTCATAATCTCCCAGCAGCTCAGCCACCAGTGTTTCGCTCGGAGGGGGCGCTCGGGCGGTTGTCCGGGCCGTTGGATGTGACGACGCACCCAAGTCCTTCCTTCGGGGATGCCGGAGGCATCACCATGAAACACGGTGGACGGGGAGACCTCTGAAGTGGGTACATGGGAGACCTCCCAAAAAGCCCCGCATCGGTCCGGATTCCAGGAAGTGGCAACTGGGGGTCTCCCAATTTTAGGACACCACCGTGTCATGAGTTCTTCTTTGAAGTCTGCTCGGTGTAATGCCTTCAGCCAGCAACACTCCCAAACTCGCTTTGCTATCTTCGCAGTCCTTTGAAGAGGATTGCCGTGGAGGATGGCTGATGGAACAACGAGACGTTTCGATACTCAAGAGGCTCTCGTGATCTCTCATGCAACATATACTACGATCAGTTTAAAGGTTCTGATCCAAAGAGTTGTGTATATATCCCTTAGAAGTCCAGTTCGACTTGCGTTTTTTTGGCAACACCCAATTAAAGGAACATCCTGAACTCGGGTACTAGTCAGACCATTTTGACATACTCTATGACTTCCAGGGTATCTCTGGATTTGGTGGATATGTTCTTGGTGACATAGGTTGAGATATAGGGGCCACACCGGCGCCGGGTTCGACTTGAATTTGAGCCATGGGACACTCGAGGCATGAAGTTGTTGGTGAAGCTGATCTTCACAGTGCTGTTGCTGTTTCTGCTTTCCTACGCTTCCGTCAATTCCATCCTGGCAGAGAAAACACGTCCGAGTCCGGCCGCCGTCGTCTCGTCCGAGCTGCGTGTGGCACGCGCACGCGTGGCACGTGTGGCACTTTGCTTGCTGGCGTTGGATGCTGAAGCTTACATTGATGAATGGGTGCATTTCCACGAAGCTTTGGGAGTTGATCACTTCTTTGTCTTTGATTTAGCCAACCAGCTGGAGCTGAACGACTGGGCTTCAGGAAAGGCACATGTGAATGTCACACACTTCCCCGCCAAGAATATCACGGATGTGCATCGTTTTCGCGCGGAACTGGAGAAACGATGCATCCAAATGGCTCGGAGGGCAGGCTACAGCTGGGTTGGGCTGTTGGATGTGGATGAGTTCATATTGTTTCCGCAAGAGTTGCTCGGTTGGTGGTTAAAATACTTTTAATTCACTGTGTGAATTTGAGGTAGGATCACATTCTGTTGAGCCAGGTTGTCACACTATGTTGTGTCTGCCGCCGTTTGGCTCCTAGGGCCCTTGAGCTATACCGTGCTCGCATTCGAACCGAAAAGAGCGTCTGGACAGTACGATTCCGGTTGCTACCGACATTGGTAGCGGAGCAGGTGACGGCCTGACTCCGGCACGTACTGATCCAGGTCATTGGAATCGTAGAACATAGAGCCTAAGCTTGCTTTCCTTGCGTGCTTTCGCTTGCCTCCTCTGATCCCGTTGGGGACAGAGCCCGGAATAGATTGCTCGTCCGAGCGATCTCCGTCGGAATCGTCGAACATGTCCATTGCCGGACTCAAGTTTCATTCGGGTAGCACTGGTGACAGGGTAGGCAACCCCCTTGAAACCAAGAGCGGGTCCTACATCTATTGGGGAGATCCTGCATCATTCCATGATTGGAAGTTTCGTACCGAACTCCGCATCAAGCTATACGACCAAGCCCAAACGCAACAAGCAAAGAAGCAGGACTCTGCTGATGGACCTGCTGAGGAAGGGGAGTCTTGGCCACCAGAGTCGGATGAAGGATTCACATTCCCCTCGCCAGGTCATTATCCCGAGGAGTTTGAGCCCGAGCCGCGTGAAGCAGCCGGTCCTCCCAAGCCGAAGGCTGGTGCGACATCACCGAAAGCTTCGTCCGTTAAGTCAGACAAGTCGAGCATCATCGATCGTAGTGTCCTAGTGAACAAGATCGTAGAAGGTTTGAGAGGTGATGCCTTTTTGCTAGCCAGAGATTTAGGCCTAGAGACGCTTTCTCGTCCAGGGGGACTGGAGCGCCTTGTTGAGGTGATACGCAACCATGTGTTTCCTCGTGCCTTGGAGGAGAGTAAAGAGCTTTTTCGCGCAGGACAGAAACATGGAGGTCCACTGTCAAGACAGCCTACTGAAAGCATGTTGTCGTACACTCAGCGTCGACGACGCTGGTGGACTTTGTTGGTTGAGCTTGATTCCACGATGATGATCTCGGAAGCTTTCCGCACAGAGCTATTGTTGGAAATGTCAGGTATTTCCCGGCAGGAGATTCTCGTGGTAAAGGCTTGCCGCAAGAGCGATGACTTTGAAGGCACTGCACGAGTCTTGGTAGACAACTATAGTGGAATCCACCTCCGTGAAGGGTCCCGATCCTGGACAGGACGGGGAATTCAACCTCAGGTAGGTAAAGGCAAGGGATACCAGAAGGGGTATCAAGGTAAGGGTAAAGGTAGCCAATACCCTCGTGCAGGTTACAATGCCATCTATCCCGATTGGGAAGAGAATTTCGAATGGAGAGATGAGGACCTGCAAGAACATTGTCATGAAGAAGATTCTTTCGTAGGCATGCTAGGAGGGATTGAAGAGTCCGAAGAACATGAACATGCTAGCCATGCCGAATACGATGAATTTGAGTATCATGATGATGTTGATGAATATGAAGCAATTGCCTTGAACGCAGTGGTTGATTGTGAAGATGCCGAAGAACGTTCCTCAGGTGATGCCATCCAATTGCAACTTGCCGCATTCGTCGCTTTTGGAAAAGCCAAAGGCAAAGGCAAGGGTAAGCCTAAGGGGAAAGGTAAAGGTAAGATAGTGAAGTCTCACCTGAGCATCGAGCAACGCCGCCAGAAACTGTCAGAGATCAAGGCGAAATCCAAGTGCCTTCGTTGTGGTGGATTAGGTCACTGGGCCGGAGACCCCCAATGTAAGATGCCAAACGCCCCGAAGGCTGGATCGACCCCGAAGCCTGCAGCTCACATTGCTCACATGGGTGACTCATCCGAAGACGAAGGGATTTTCCTAGGTGCAGCGTCTCCAAAGGATAGCATTGCTCACATGGCTGTGAAGGCCAGCTCAGGAGTTCGCCCGGAGGCACCAGTGAGTCCCAACGATCTCGCAAGGCCTGAGGGAAGCGATAGGAAGTTTTTGGCTGGTCAGTTCAGGGGGAAGACTTTTTGGCAGATTCTTCATGAGCACCCCGATTACCACCAACGGGCCATCAAGAATGGTAAGAGTCCAATCGCTTCGGCTTTCGTCACATGGGTTGATCAGCACTTTGAGTACAGGGGAGCTTCAGTTTTCAGGAAGGTTGGTGGTGCTTCTTCTTCGTCATTGCAGCCTATTCCGAAAGGGTGCTCAAGGAAGAAACCACCATATCCACCGAAAGAGAAATGCAAGAATTGTACCGAGTTCACCAAACAGGGGAGCACTGCATATACCATCAAGAAGACATGTCTTGTCTGTAGGAATTCCACCACTGAGCGCAGAGAACAAGCCCCGAAGTTTGCATATGAAGATTGCCTGCATTCAGACACAGATTTTCGAGGTTCTTCCAGGTCAGTTCACCGGGTGTTTTGCAAGCTTTGTTGTTCGTTTTTGGATGAGACTCCGATGGAACTCCAGAAGACCAGGAAAGCAGCCTCAGAGAAAGTCGCAAGTGCACCGCTCGATAGGATCCCGATCATTGAACGTTTGGTTGAAGATCCCCAAGAGGGACTTACCCCTGAAATGCTAGAGAAGATCCTGACCGAATTCGCCGCCCAAGTCACGTTGGCCGCCGAAACGGAGGAGGTGACTTCGACCAAGCTGCACGAGCTGCTGCACTTGTCCATCGAAGAGAGCAAAGGAGACTCATTCACCATGATCGATTACACAGAAGATTCAGACCCTTTCGCAGGGATCGGTGTTTGTTTTCATGGGGAGGAACCTACCCAGATGACAGATGGTTTGGTGCACATCTTTCACGAAGCCAGGGACATGTACAGCCCAGACGACGGGAACATCTACGTCGTTCTCGACGAGGGGTGTAATTCCACCTGCCACTCAAAGCACTGGGGAGACGTCGTTGAAGCCAAACTGAAGAAGCTAGGGTATGATTTTCCTTTCTCAACCACAACGTCGAAGAACTTTGCCGGATTAGGTGAAAAAGGGACCGCTACAGAAGGATCCCGAACGCTGCCTTTTTCGTTGCACTTCGACGAGGGAGATCCAGTGCATGGTGTTCTCGAACCCACCAGCTGTCGAAAGGTCGATCTCCGCTGCTTTTGTCTCTTCATGCTCAGGCACATTTGGGAAAAGGACCTCAAGAATGGTATCATTAGCATCAATGGGAAACGCCTCAATGTGTTCAGATGCATACATACCGGTTTGATGATGTTGGCAATCACCACTCAACAATTGGTCCAAAGTCTCGAAGCCACCATGCCCCAAAAGATTCCAAAGTGTCATCGCAAATTTCGTGTCGCCCTCACAGCCTTCGATACTCCGATGGAGAGATTGGATACGGCAGAGCGAGGGTATCAAGCCCAGACTGCCGAAGGTATCCATCGTGCGCTTGACAACATCATTGGCAATTTGAAGAGCCGTGAGTTTTTGCTGGTCACTGGAGGTGACCGGTTTGAAGACAGGTTGACACAGCATGTTGGCAGTGGTATCCCCGTGAAGTACATCAACGCCAAGTCGCTGTGGGATCCCGACCAAGATCCTTCGTTGCGTGGACACGTAGGAAGGCATCCGGCCATTTTGAATGGTCTCAGGAGGGATCAGAGAGGTCTTGACCGCATCTTTCGTGAGGTGGACGCCTTTGTGGAGCACCACGACAAGGGAGTTTTGGATGTGCGCTGCAAGTCAGGGCGTCATCGTCCTGTGGGCGGAAGCATGTTGATCCACAGGCACCTTGTTTCGAAGGGCTTCACGTGTGTTGTGATTCATTCTCACTCGCCCGAATGGTGTGAGATGTCGTGCGGAGGACGTTGCACTCTTTGTGGGCCGCTTTTCGGTGATACAACTGTGACATTGACTCCAGCACATACAATGAATGTTCACACTCCAAGGGCTGTTCGAGGTGATGCGGACGACCACGTGCCGTGGCGATCCGGTGAGCGTTCAACGGCACCACCGCCGACGCGGGAAGAGGCTATTCGCAGTACCAGTGCAAAAGCTTGTTCACTTCCACCCAAGGCCTGTCCTCTTTCGAGACCATCTTCATCTTCACGACCGCCGAAGGCGAGTGACGCCGTGACATCTCGGAAGAGCAAGCCAATGCCGAGCACTGCCGTGACCTCGCCTGTGAGGCCAGTTCCGGATTTTGATGATGGTGACAGCGATGAGGACGATGCCAAGCTGGATGAACAGAAGGTTGATGACAAGAAAGAAGAAGAGATAGGAGAGGTTGAGGTTGAAGAGCCAGAGATTCCAGCAAAAGAGACTTCGAGCGGAAGCCAAGAGATTCTGCAAGCCCTCAAGAAGCTGACAGATGCCGTGACGACACTTGCAAATCGCAATCCACGGTCCCGTAGCCCATTGAGGAGGAGGAAGTCAGCTGGTACGTCAGAACCCAGTCAGAGGCCAACAAGGTCTAGGAGTCCGGTTCGTTCGACCAGGCCAACAGTGAAGACAGCCCCTACGATGCCGAAGACTCCACCACCTCCGCCTAAGCCTGTGAGTCCGCACACTCCAGATCAACCACCACCACCAGATCGTCCGCCACCCCAGCTCTTGTCCAAGTCCAGGTACGATGAAGATCAGCGTCCAGATTTGGAAGATGAGTTGTGGGTTCTTTTGACCAACGATGGGGCGCCGAAGGGTGATCAGGTGGATCCTGAGCTCCTCCATGTCCTGGCCGGTGCAGCTAGGGATTGGAGCAACCGTGACAGAACTTTGTGGTTGGTGAACCGCGATCTGCCCCCCAAGGATCAGCAGTGGTATGGCATCCGCGTGGACATCAAGATCAGGGGTGGAGTTTACACTTCAGAAGTCAAGCAGGCTGGATGACGAAATGGGATTGGACCAAGACGGTCTACGTTCGAAAACGTGAACCTGGAGCAGTCTGGGAGCGCATCCAGAATGGAGCGCCTGTAGGGGACTTGGCCAATGTCCCAGAGCCCTGGTCCGACGTCATCAGTTTCACTCACCGTGCTCCGCAAGGATATATGGTGCTGCAGGCGAGAGTGGTTTTGGCCCCAAGGTCCGAGATTCGCTCGTTCGTGCCGCCTACTCCCATCACCCAGGACACCAGACACCGAGGACACCAGAACTCCAGACGAGTCCATAGCATCACAAACTGTTCGCTTGGAGTCTGAGTCACAATCACCAACCAGTCCTGCATCCACTGAGTCCGCAAGTTACGAACCAGTAGCACACATGGCATGGGACCTTGATAGGAGAGAACAAGTTGAGATCAATTTGGATGAGAGCAATGAAACCGATTCGGAAGTCCCTCCAGATCCCAATGCACAGCCGAGTAGTTCAGGAGTCTTGCCCATTTCATTGCATGTTGTGAGAGAACCACCATGAGTAGGAAGCATCGCAGGGCAGTTTTGGAGGGCATTGATCGCCTGGACCATAATGATGCACTTGTCAAGTCCAGCGTTGGTTTGAAGGATGTTCCATTCACAGAGCCTCCAACCTTGGTCATTACTTCGCATCCCCGCCTCTTCCAGGAGCTTCAAGCAGCAGATGGTGTTGCAGACGTCTTTGATGACGTCGGCGTGGGAGCTGAGAACCTCAATCCTGATGAGGACTCCAAGATTTGGTACGATGTTTTGCAAGACTACAAGAACATCGCCATTGCCATAGAATATGGACAGCACACAGACCCCTTGAGGCATGGAAAGATTTTGGGTGAAGTAGAATCCCATTGTGACATGACTGGTAGCCGGATTTTGCACATTGATGTTGCCACTACCCAGAGATGGGAGGAACACGAATTTCCGCAGATCCCCCATATCAACGACCATGATTTGGCATTCACCTGCAATGACCCCAAGTGGGCTGAGCTTTTCGAATCGTGGTTTCGTGGGCAAACAATGAATGATGTTTTGTCTTGGCAATTCGTCGATTGGCTGGGTGAATGGACAAATGACACCACTTTAGATGATGAGATGTCTGTTGCATTTGTTGGTGAATTGCAAGAGGAAGTGATGGATGATGAACAACAATTCGATGCCATTTGGGATGACGAAGATCGAGCACAAGCCAACCCGATAGAGCAGATGATCTCAGAAGAGACACTGGTCGATGAGGTAGATATCCCAGGTCTGCCAGCCGATGAAGCCGAACGACGCCGAATGTGGCGCAAGCTGCCTGCACGTGTAAGGATTGGTGTAAGAAGGTTGCATAGGCAATTTGGACATGTCCCCAAGCAGACACTGATCCATCTCCTTCGTGCAGCAAAGGTCAGGAAGGAATTCATCGATGCTGTCAGAATCCACAGGTGCGAGACGTGTGAAGCAACATCACAGAAGAAAGCCACACACAAGACAGCACTACCTAACAACCATTCGCTCAACCACACTGTAGGTATAGATGTGTTCGAGGTCCATGACATTTCAGGTGATAAGTTCCAGGTGTTGAACATGGTTTGCCTCGGCACGACCTTTCAGCTGTGTGAAGTTGTTCGTTTTGGCGCTGGTCAACCGTCCTCTGCAGAATGTCTGAGAGCCCTGAAGAAACGATGGTTTTCATGGTGCGGACATCCAGTGAACATTGCCTGTGACAGAGGTCTACATAACCGAGGTGTTATGAAGAAGTACATGGATGAACATGGAATCCAGGTATTCCATACTCCTTTGGAAAGCCCAGAGAACCTTGGCCGTGTAGAACGTCATGGAGGTATTGTCAAGTCACTATTCAGGAAGGTCTGCAAGGAGACAGGCGCTATTGGCAGAGAACAGGTTGAGCAGGTCTTGCTCGAGGTAGTGTCCACCAAGAACAACTCCAGCCGAGTTGGAGGATTCTCGCCTGGTCAGTGGGTACTTGGAAAAGGACCCCGGTCAGACCCGAGTCCATTGTCTGAAGAACGGTTTGCCGAGCTTGGAGCTATTGAAGCCCGTCACAACCCAGAGAGCATTTTTGCCTTACAGCACATGGCCAGGCAGGAAGCCCAGAAGGCATTTGTTCACCTCGATTGTTCGGCAAGAGTGTCCCGTGCGCTTACTCGCAATGCTTCCAGTCTCCCTCGGGAGTACGCAGTAGGCGATCTAGTGACATTTCGCCGAGACAACCAAAAAGGGGGCACCACATGGAGTCCCACTAGTCGGGTGATAGGCCATGAAGGTGAAAGGAATTTGTGGTTGTTGTGTGGAAACGTTCCAGTGTTGGTCGCCAACCAAAACGTGAAGATTGCGACGCCGACCGAAGCACTAGCTCATGCTGTTTTGCATGGTGAACCTGTTTTTCCAGAAAGTGTTGTCAAGGTGGAGTTCAACAGTCTTTTCTTGATGCACGTGCGGATCCGAGTGAGCCCGGGTCCCCGATCCTCCTCGAATCTCAAGAATCCGAACCCCGAATCCCAGATGCCGGTTCGCTACCCCCTGTTCCAGAAGATGATGAATTAGATGTAGGAATCAGGCCGGGTTTCTTTAATGAAGACCAATCCGAAAGTGAAGATGCGCTTGAAGAGTTGAGTAGGAGTAGGTCCTCAGGTTCCAACTCACGCCCATCGCCTGCCGCAGGAAGTGACCACGGTCGCAATATGAGGCCCCGTATCGCTGAGCCAGAAGGTGAGCGCGGATCCTCATTGCAACCATCCCGTAGGGAATCATCGGATACTCCAAATGCATGGCCCAATGTGTATGATCATTTGAACGACTTGCCAGCATCTCTGCAAGAGCATTTTGAGAGAGCTCGTCAGAGAGACAGAGAACAGACAGAGCAAGATCGAGAAGATGCACATGCCATGTGGACCAGTTTTCTTGCCCAGACGGAGGAAGAAGTAGATCTAGGTAAGAAAGTCCTGAAGAGCATTCACTATGAATCTGCACCCCCAGAAGTGCAGAAGGCTTTGCAGGAATCAAGACAGAAGGAGTGGGCCAAGTTTGAAGAGTTCGGAGCCGTCGTAGCTTTGACTCCAGAACAAGCGCAAGAACTCATTGATGAAGGGCACCAATGCATTCCATCTAAATGGGTGGATGTAGATAAGGCGTAGTACAAGCAAGGGAGAGACCCTGACTACAAGCCCCAGTACAAGAGCAGGCTAGTTTCGTGCGGAAACTTCGAAGTGACAGAGGGTTTGAGGTCAGACAGTCCAACTGCCGATGTCGAGATGCACTGTCTCGTCTGCAGTTGGGCAGCATGTCATCAGGCCGACATCCATTCAGCTGATATCACCTCGGCGTATTTCCAGGGACGACCATTGGATCGCGTCCTTCTTATGCGTCAACCCAGAGGAGGTTTGCCAGGTGTAGAACCCGATGTCCTTTTTCTTGTGAGAGTCCCAGTGTACGGGATCACAGACTCAGGAAGAGGCTTTTGGTTGCGTTTGGATGGTCTGAAGGCAAGCCATTTTTTTCAGGGTTGACCTCCCAGGTGAGCAGGGAGGAGACGCATATGCCCTCATGTGCACTCACGTGGACGATTTGCTCTATAGTTTTCTTCCGGAAGGCGAGGAAGTGATGAAGTCTTTTCTTGCCAAGTTCAGTGTCGGCAGTTCAGACACTAACCGCTTTCGATACTGGGAAGCAGTTTGTGCGGGGAGATGACAAGGTCATCAAAGTCGACACAGCAGATAACACTAGGAAGATTCATGGAGCAGATGTTGGTTCTAGGCTAGGCAGTGAGCGACTCCAACAAGGAGACATCACGAAGCTCAGGTCGATCACCGGATCGCTTGCCTGGATCTCGAGACAGACCAGGCCTGACCTCTGCTACAGAGTAAGCCGCTTGCAGTCTAGCATTAAGGATGCAACAGTGTCCACGTTGGCAGACGCTAACGCAGTCGTTGTCCTGGCACACAAGGGTCACGATGTGGCATTGTGTTTTCCCGCGGCTCATCTCCAGTGGAGTGAAGTTGGAGTGATCACGGTCACAGACGCCTCCTTCTCCAACGAGAAGAACTACAAGTCGCAGCAGGGCAGGATCCATTTTCTGGGTGATCTCAAGGAGATCAAAGATGACAAGACGACCACCTATAAGGTGATGCCTTTGTTTTTTGGATCCACGACAATTAAGAGAGTCTGCCGCAGCACTCTCCAAGCCGAGACGTATTCCCTCCAGAACGGACTTGAGACAGGTGACAAGCTGAGAGGTGTGATTGCGGAGATTAAGGGTAAGATTCGCAGTTTGAAGACATGGGAAGATGATGCCCGAGAATGCATTCCGCATTTGGCAATGACTGATTGCCGTTCGCTTTCATTTCTGACCACCTCAATCAGGAAGTCCTGGCCAAGGTGAGTGACAAGCGCCTTGGTATCGAGTTGCAAGGAATCCATGAGAATTTGTGGCAAGAAGGAAGACCAACATGGATTGCTTTCGAGAATGGAGGAGACAAGTTGATCTGGATTGCCACCAGTACGATGGTGTCGGACTGTTTGACGAAGTCCATGAAGCCAGATCTGCTACTTCGAGTGCTGAGAGAGTGCCTTTACACTGTACAGAAGCAGAAGTAGATTTCTCCAATGCCTTAGGAAGACACAAGAGTTTCAATGTATAGCCGTGTGACACCTGTAGAACAGGTTGAGTGTGAATTTGAGGTAGGATCACATTCTGTTGAGCCAGGTTGTCACACTATGTTGTGTCTGCCGCCGTTTGGCTCCTAGGGCCCTTGAGCTATACCGTGCTCGCATTCGAACCGAAAAGAGCGTGTGGACAGTACGATTCCGGTTGCTACCGACACTGTTATTATTTCCCAACAAAAGTACATCATAAAAACATAAGACTCTTCCCCAAACAAAACTTGAATACACTGAACGGGTCTCAACATGTTCCAATTGGGACTCCTCTTGGATGAACCTTCCAATGGGACTGGCATATATACTTACCAGCACCTGGCTTGGCTCTTCCAACCACCCCAGCGGGATCTCCAGCCAGATCTATAAACCCCCAGCTGGTTCGGAAGATCCAGGTGGATTCCAGGCGCCGGCCAGTCCCAGGCTTCACGGGACCGGACCGTGTCGTGTCTGAAACATGTCTGTGACCTGGTGAGGTTCGAGACCCACATCGCTGAGCTCCTCGAGAGACCTGGCAGGATCAGGTGAAAGTGAAGGTCGGATTTTCCCGCATCCCAGGTGACCGGCACACACGCTCCCCATATTGTTCAGGTGGTCAGCTGAATGACCTACAGCGTCGGAGGGGTGGGGGGAGTCCCATCTGGTCCGAACTCAATGCGTTCGACATGGTTGATCCTCACAAAATCACCTCCAAACCACCTCCACACCTATAAACAAAGTCTATTCAAGACGATGCCTGGACCCGGTCGACCTGCCAGGTCACCACCAGGTTCACTTTGAAGTCGACAAAAGGCACCAAAACTCGGAGATCTGGCAGGGAAGGTGCTGGTTGTTTGAAAAGACACTCCATGGGACTGCCATATATGCCGCCACATTGACCCCTCTGGCACCACCCCAACTGATCGGCATATTTATGGCATATACATGGAGTGTCTGGGGATGTTTTTCAGGTTCCCGAAGCAAAATCCCAAGGAGACGACCTCCTTCCGAGAGCTCCTTGCCGCTGCCCGGCCGTCTCTTCGCCTCGGATGCGGCGACCTATCAGCCGCTGCCAGTGACGAAGCGGGTGACCCGAGGTGAATGTTTGGAGAGTTTGGTTTTCACTTTAATTCTGTTTCATTGGGATGATGGAACTCACCCACTCACCCAAAAGCGAGGCCACTACAGTGCTCTTTTTTTTTTTTTTCTTTCGTTTCGTTTTTCGTTTTTCAACCACCAGGTGATGCAGTTTGTGGACATGAACTGGACCAGGTCTTTGGTGAGAACAGACCCGAGACGGCGACAGAGCCTGGGGAGTGACCGAGAACCAGAGAAGGACCCGTCTCAGGAGCCTGAGGAAAGGGGCGTTGTGACCTTGAACTGTTACTGGAAGAAATCCATCAAAGAGCTTTATAAGAAGTGCTCACAGAGTCCCTCCAAAGAACTCTTTGCCCATCAGTGCCTGGCCAAGAAGCTTCGCAGAAATCAGCCTTTGAGACGTGACGATATGGCTTGGACTTTCTTGAAGAGGAAGGTTCCTTACTATGCAGGCTTTGACTTGATGTTGCCCATCTCAGAGCCCCGTTACCCCACCGAACACGGATCTCTGTCAGACACAGGCTGTGCACTCTGCGCCATCATGCTCAACGAGGAGGCCTATGTGGATGAATGGGTGGACTACCATCTAGCGCTGGGCATGAGCCACATCTTCCTCTATGACAACAGTAAGACTTGGGAGCTGCAACGCTGGGCGTCTCGACGTCTCAAAGTCACCTCTGTCCATTGGTCTGCAGACGCGGGTCAAGAAGACGCCTATGTGGATTGTTGGAAAAAGCACGTGAGGCCCAAGAACTACACCTGGGTGGCCTTTTGGGATGTCGATGAGTTCTTGATCTTGAAAGATCATCGTAATGTGATTGATTATTTGGCTGAATATCTGGATCATGGATCTCTGTCCCCGAACTGGCTGATGTTTGGACCAGCAGGACACAAAGTTTATGAGCCGAAGCCTGTGACAAAGAGGTTTCAAAAGTCTGAGTCGAAGGTGAATCGGCATGTGAAGACGATCTCCAGATCAGAGGACGTCAGACAACCACATGTCCACTATGCTTTGCTCTGGAAGGGGGCGCAACGGGACGCTGCGGGCTTGCAGTTGAAGAAGAAAGGGTCGTTCAATGAGTTCAATGGGGAAGGGCTTCAGAGCCAAGCGCTCATCTTTCATTATGTCTACAAAAGCCACAAGGAATTAGTGAAGAAACGCTGGCGTGGGCGTGCAGATGTGAACATGACCACGAAGCAGCGGAGGATCCGGATGAAAGATGATCGGCACATCGACCAGTGTTGCCCTCGCCTTGAGCATCGAGCCTGGGAGAGGATCATCGAGTCTCCTGGTACAGGTTGCTATAGCTGGATCTTCTAACTGTGCCAGATATCTGCCGAACTTCATATTATATCATATATACCATCCAAGTTCGGCAGCAATTGTGGATAGTTGGAAGATCTACGAAACAGTCCAGGACCTTCCAGGACCATCCTGGACTGCACTACAGCGGCACATCGAGACAGGAACGACTAGACAGGATGCTCCAGGTTTGACTCATAGACCAAGTAGGACGTGACCCGGTCGACCGGCCCAGAACCCTGTGGAGGGGTCGGACCCGAATTGTTGAAGCAATCCTTAGCCCTGGGAGTCAAAAACTATCAAAAGAATGGTCTGACTAGGTGACCCGAAAAGGAATATGCTTTACTTCAGTTGGTCAAAATATAGTCTTTGGACTTCTAGGGTTATAATTTGAGAGACCAGTCGGGCTGTGAAGGGAGCGTCGTAGCCCCTTTAGAAGTGGTGGATCAAGATAACCAAGTGTGGGGTTTTCAATGGGTCACAACTCTAGTCTCGGTCTGTGTTGGCTCTAGGGCGATGTTGAATTCGTTTCATCGGGGTGTGAAATTTCCCTGAGACATATAAGGTATAGTTTTTTTCCCTTACTAGCTTCTCCCTTACTAGCTACCTACCTAGCGGCCTACCCCCACCCCCGGAAAAATGAAAAGCACACATCCAAGGTATTTGCCACACTACCAGATGTATGATCAACCCATCGACGTGATCGTGAAGCTGCACCGCAGTAGGGCGCTGCCTGGTGCGAAGACGGGAGAAAAAGCCTGCAGCTCGCGGTACACTCCCTCTACCTACCCTTCTTGGGATCAAAATACCTCCTTACCAGGTCTTCCCTGTGCCCAGTTGGTGCCAGGGTCCAGTGGTCGGTTGTTCGGTTCGTGATCGGATGGCAGTGGATCCTGCTGGCAGCTACATCAAAGTGTCGAACACATCACCCACTCAGTGTCGGCAGTGGATCTTTAGGTCAGCTCGGATCGTTCACAGCAGAGGTGGGTCAGAACCCGAACGTTCGACTATATCGTTAATGGACACTCCGAATCCACGGCTTTATGGGGCTATAAATAGACACCGTGTCGGGTCCTGGTGGGTACCCCAGGTGTTCCTGGTCACGAGTCGACCACCTCTGGCAGCGACTCCCCAGTCCTTGGCCGATTCCGGGGGGGCTGGGGAGACAGGTCCAGACGTCTGGAGCTCGGGGGGTGGGAAGGAACCCCAGAGCAGAGGTGGTCTTTCGTGACCAGGTCACGAGTCGGACCTGGAAGACCTGGGGTACCTAATGGTACCTACCACCTTCAGGACCTCGGGGTCACCTGGCTGGTTTCGCCCCTACACTAAAAGAGACCTCCAGCCAGGACACCCCTTCTTGAAGGTCGAGGTAGGATAGTCTAGTTCGGGTTCTGACCCACCTCTGCTGGGAGCACATAAGGTTGGCCGAAAACCCGTGGTGTGGCAGGCAGCATTGTGCTTGACGGTCTGCTACTTCTCCCAGTTGGCCAACCAGCGGGCCTTCTCAGTTGGGGAAGGGGATGGGAAGGAGGAACGAGAGGAGGATGAAGAGCGTCTCAGTGATGATGGGCAGACGGGCAGCTTAAGAGAACTTGGGGTCGTAATGCTATGGGGTAATTTTTTGTTCTGACTGATGCTGTTCCATAAGATATGTCAATGTATACTAGCATCCTCCCTGCCAGGTCTCCTCTTCGAAAGTTGGGAAAGGCCACAGCCCAGCGGTCGAACCATTGGTGGCAGTGGTCAGATGTTGGTAGATTCTGTCTGATTTCAGGAGCTTTGGATGATTCTTTCAGAACCCAACAGGACATAGCGGACCATACCATGGCCACTTAGTGAGAGAGTCCTGTACCAACCATAGCCTTCTAACACCATTTTAAAAGGGATTGACCCGGTTTTTGGAATGCACAATACCGACAATACCATATGGATACCGTATTGCATTCATGGTCGGATCCCGGCAGCCCTCTCAGCGCCCCGCTGCGTCTCGCCCAAGCAGCCGACCCGGAGGCCCTGCTTGGTGGTGGGCACCGTCTACAACATGACGCCCGCACCCCCGAGCGAACGTAAGCGACGTATACGCGAACGCGGTTCGCGAACGCGGTTCGCGAACGCGAGCGAATGCGTATACGCGACGTGGTGTAGATGTGTATCTGTCAGGCGCAGCTGGAGGGCATGGGCATGGCAGTGGGAAGAAGAGCCATGGCAATCGTCTTTTTCCTTCTTGTTTTCTGTGGGGGGGAGGTCTATATGGCATCACGCATTCGACTCTGAAGGACAGCCTTCGGTATGTTTGCCTGAGTGCCTGAGTGTTGGATTGAGGAGAAACGGACAGCTTTCCTCGCCTCACTTCCGTGCCCAATGTCAACAAAACTGAGGGACGAGGAAGTCTAGCTTCTCTCAGAGCAAGTAAGTCTAAGTCCTTGGGACTTACACTCGCCCAAGTTAGACCTGCAGTCGGTCCTTTTGAGAGACCCTGTGGGTCACCTGCAAAGACCCTGAAAAAAGCGGGAAAGACCCAATTCGAGCCGTTTTAGACATCTGGTCCGTCACAGCTTAGCGAGTTCGTGGTGAGTTCGTGGTTGTTGGATGTTGTTGGTCCGTCACGAATAGAGGTCACTCAGGGTCTATGGGTATCAAATGCAGGGGACTTCGGCCGAGTCCGTTTTTCCTTTGAACAGATCCGTTTTCCTCGCCGTGATCGCTTTCGCCGTCGCTTTCGCCGCCAGGCTGTACCCGAGACACGCTCCGAAGGCCACCATTAAGACCTACATGTACGACGAGCCGGAAGCGCCCAGATAGACCTCTCCGTCGCACGGATCCACTCTGGGGGCCGGATGTGGAGAAAAGAGGTCCGGACGATGGAGAATGACGTGTACAGCAAACACTCCATGGGACTGGAAAGACCTACATCAGGGATCATCAGGGTGGTTGAAAAAGGATGAAACAGGGGTCAATGTATGTAAATGATGGTTCAGTCTGACATGGCTCTGAAAAAGAGAACATGTCAGACTCTGGTTCTACCAAGGCCCCCGATGGGGCTTCTAGGGATCGTCTGGCATTTTTCGGTCCGATCTTAAAGCGGACCTGTGCCACGTTCGGCCGCTTTCTCATCTATTGAACCAGCCACGTTCGGCATAGTTGGAACATCAAAACATATGCTTTATAGCCCATACACTCCACGGGTATGGGTATGGCAGTCCCATGGAGTGTCTGGATAGTGACCCAACTCCGACATGGATCATGAACTGAAGACTGGGCTCATGTGTGACATGTTCCATCCAAGCACAGAACCACCTTCCAGCCTTTCCCCCCCTTTTCTCCGCGTGGCGCGTGGCGCGTTCGCGTTCAGCCTCGACTCCTGGGATCGGCGGCCGCCTCTCTGCGCGTCCGAACGCCCCCGCCTGCGATACCACGACGGGCGACGGAAGTGAGGCGATACCACTTGCAGCTGATCCACTCCACGCCCTTGGATGTGGCACCCCCAGTCCGCGAGGAAGCGAGGAAGTGGAAGCCAAGTGGAGCGTGTGAGGTTTCAGCGACCGGGCGCCGAAAGGAGCGAAAGGGGCTTCTGGGGGTGGAGAGTGGGAATTCGGAAGTCTTGGCATCCAGGCAAACCACGATAGGTGGTAACCAGTGGTTCCAAAGACTAACACCATAGACCGAACGAATCCCTGGTTCCTGATATAGTGGTAACTGTGACGCACTGGGTTAGATGACAGCTTCATTTGAGTCTCTCCCATGAAACGGGTGGCGATTTGACCATCTCTGACACTAGATGGCTCGACTGAGGATGTGCCACTGTGCCTGTTCCCCTTCGAAGGCGCACGATGATGTCGGCAACAGGGAGGGAGACGCAAGAGCAGAGAGTGAATGAGATGGACCAATTTGCCATTCCAACAGAGGTTAAGTGACCTGAACTAGGACCCTACAGGGGTAGGTATAGGCCTATAGGGGTACCTATAGGATAGTCTTTGTAGGGTTCTTCAACCTCTTTTGGTTTTTGCCGGTGAACCCTCAGGCGAACTCAGGCGGGCAGGGTATGGGTCTCGACAGACCCAGCGGAGTCTCGATGTATTGCTTATACAGTATAGCTTATAGGACCTTCCAAGTCCGGTGGTTTTAGAAGCCTAACAGGTGGTTTCTGGGCACCGGACTTGTGACCAGGAAACAATAGCAAACACCTGGCCATGCCTGCAGTGGGGTCCAGGTATATATCCATGGATGGTGGTGTTGCTTCCACTTGGTCCCTATGACATTGAAGCTTCATCCGCCGAAATTCGTCAGATCACCCAACACCATCTCTGCGCATGCCTCCACTGGAGGCATGGCCAGCACCTGGTCAGCACCTCCCGTATACCACCTTCCTATCCAGCCGGGTGTCTGTGGCCGACCGAAGGTCCAGGTACCCCAACCACACAGGGACTCCTGTCGACTCGACTCAGAGCAAAGGGAAGGGATTTTCTAAGTCGACCAGGACCATCCACCGGGGGTGTCCTGGCTGGACTCACCTGCACCAGCCAGCGTCGGGATCTCCAGGTCCAGGACGCCCCTTGAAAAAGAAGGTCCAGGGAAATGACCAGGAGTCACGTTCGACGGGGTGCCGAACGAACGGAGGTAGTCGGGGTGCCCCGTCGTCACCTCCACAGCCCCTGGATGGGACGAGCCACACCACCCAACTCCATGTGACCCCTGGGACAGGATTTCTTGACCTGGCGACATCGGGTTTAGACCCTGCGGGACTCCAGCACCCGGTCCACCCCGATGCCCGAACCGCGAACCAGGGCGCTTGCTGGCGAGCGTGGGGAAGAACCTTCGGGTCTATGAGCTGGGGAAGCGAAAGCTGCCGGGGGCGCCTGGGGGACTGGTTTGCGGGGTGAAGAACGTCTCCGGGCTATACCTGGAGTCTCAAAGTACCTCGGAAAATGAGTACAAGTACCTGCTTTTCTAGGGTCATGTCCCATTTTCCAAGGTACTTTGGAGGGTCCAGGTATGTCTTAACCTTGGGAGGAAGGAAGACCAGACGCGACCCGTCTGGGACTGCCAGTCCGGACTGCCGAGGAACTCACGGCCGATTGGGTGGTGCCAGAGGGATCAATGTTGGCATGTATGGCAGTCCCAGACAGGTCGTGTCTGGGTCATGTTGAATCATATACCTGGACCCGACTCTACAGGTGTTTCTTGGTGGCAAGTCCGGTGCCCAGGTTCACCACCCTGTCAGGGTCCCAAAGCAGCCTGGCTAGGAGGGTCCTGGTATTAATCTGTTTTTGGCAGGGGGCTTTGGTGTAAGTGTCGGGTCCCGACTTTCGGCGCTGGTGCAGATCGGAGAACATATGTGACATGCGCTGGTGGACGCATGTCGGAATTCTTTTTTGGAATGCTTCTCCCACGGATTTGGATGGTCTTCAACATGTCAACCACCCCCTGGCTCTTCAGACACCATAGCGATGCGCGCGGCACCTCATGTGCCGGGGGTGTCCCGTTGCGGAAGACCCGGGCGCCTACTACTTCCGGATGACGCATGGGGGTGTCCCCGTTCAGGCACGCACTTGATGGATGCTCAATCTCCTGAAACATGATTTCCTTCACCTTTTCCAACATGATCCTATCACTTGATGTATATACAATCCTGTCATATCCCGCTAGTTTTTGTTTCTTCTTCAGGCATCATCCAATTGAGACCACTTGAGACGGCTGCACCATTGTCAGTCACCCCAAAAGCAGGTGACTGATATTGACTGACCTTCGAATCAAAGTGTCGAACGGACGTTCTAGTAGGCGCGCCGTGCCCTGCCCGGGCTTTTGCTGTTTTTGGAAGGTAAACATGGTGTTTGGTCCGGGGTGTCTTGTTGACAGCAGAGGAGTGTGGGGAGTGTACCTGGACCATCCAACTGTCTGGCTGTCCAATATGGACATCTCTAAGTAGTGTACCCTAACAATCCTTGTGCTCTCCATGGCAGGGGTCGGACCCTCCATAGCAGGGGTCCGGACCCTCAAAACCCTATGTGTTTGAGGGCCCGGATTCTTAGGGTAAATCGATTGGACACCCAGACTGGATGGTCCTGATATGTGATGTTCTTGATCCAAGAAGCGCTCGCTGCTCACCACGGGAGTCGAAAGACAGTCCGTGCGCCACGGACGTGCCTTACCACGTCCGCGTGGACTGGGTTCTTCGGTGTGGTGCACACCGCTCCCCTGCGATCGAACACCGCCACTTCCTCGCAGCTCCAGGTTGAGGAAGTGCGAGTACAAGAACATCCCAGAGGGTCTCATGTGGATGCTGGAAGCCTCAGAACCCCACCCCCTTTTGCCGCCGATCGGCGCGCGCAGCGGCGCATCGGTCGGGCGCATCCGGGGGCAGGGTGGGGAGTCCAGGGCCCAGACACTCCCTGTCGGCCGCCCCAGTCTAAGACCTCTCTGGCACGCACGCACGCACGCACCCCAAGGGATGCGACCACACCAGGACCATCCAGGACCCGAACTCGAAGGTGTCTGTGTCCATCACCTCGTCAGGGGGTGATGAAGTTGAGGGTGGAAGGGAGGTGTAGACCTCCTGCTCTGTGTTCGATTGTTCCCCGAGGCCAGCTACCTCAGCTCGCTTCCTGAAGACTTCAGTGAGAATGTTGGACTTCTACCAGCATCCTCCCTGCCAGGTCTCCTCTGGTAGCCTTTGGAGACTTAAAAGTGTCAGGTGGTGACCTGGCAGGTTTTGAATCCAGCTACAGCTCCAGTCTGGTAGCCGTCCATCAGTCCGGTCTGCTGGTCCACAATAAGCCTACGAACTGGTGCCAACTTTCCCTGTATTTCATGGGATTTTGTGAACTCCCAAAGCTGGTCTAATACCCAGACGCGACCCACGGGACTGCCATAGTTCTGCCGCCCCATGGAGCGTCTGGGATATGGAGGAGAGGTTTTGGTCCCTGTCCCCGATCCTGGTGAGTTCAAGCGTGCGTTCGATGGAGGTGAACTATCTAAGGGGTTTGGCTTCGGGTCGGACCCCTGCGAAACTGTTCGAAAGGTCCAAACTATCTCAGACACGACTAATGGGACTGCCATATATGCCGCCACATTGACCCCTCTGGCACCACCCCAACCGATCGGCAGTCCTATGGCAGTCCCATGATGGAGTGTCTGGGTATCTTTTCTGCCAACTGGAGGGTTGGTTCGGATGCTAAAAGCGCCATAGCCACGTGAACAGGCCATGCCAATTGGAAGTTCCTTGGAACTGCGGACCGCCCCCTGTTGGGATCCTTTCAGGCACGTGAAGGGCGACAAGATCTTTGCGGGAGATCTGCGAGAGTCCTTCCACATCTTCAAGTGCGCAAAGGAAAAGTCCTCGTCCTGCTGTGGCGGCATCACGCATATATCATCCCTAGAAGTCCAAAGACTATATTTTGACTGGCTGGAGTAAAGGAAGTTCCCTTTCAGCTCCCCTAAAGACCATTCTTTTTATATAGTCTTTGACTCCCAGGGTCATTGGAAGTGCAGTGAGTTCGACTGTAGCACATTTTAGCACCACGCAAGTAAAGGACATTCCTGAACTCGAGTCACATTTTAAGGGCAATTTTTCGATCACTCTTGGACTTCCTAGTCACAGCAGTTTGTTTCAGCGGGCGTTGATACTTCCGTTGCTCGTTTTCGTGCTCGACGTGGTATGCAAATTCTGGGAAGCGAGTGAACTGTTGGCAGTCAGTCTCATCATAATTTCCTAGCCCAGACACGACCCGTGACCCGAACCTGTGCAGGGGTCGGACCCGGTCATCCGAACTGGTCAGGGGTCTGGACCCGAACCTATATGGTTTTGAGGGACCCAGTCGGGCGTCGTTCACGGAGCGTCTGGGAGAGAAAGAACTATACGGCTAGACCAGGTCTGTCACGTGAGCTCCGGGGTGCCAAACTTGGAGGATGTCGGGGTGCCCCGTCGTCACATCCTCACTGGATTCGGACTAGCTACACCACCCCACGGCCCGGCCCTCCATGTGACTCCTGGTCGTCCGCAGGTGTTGATGCATCAACACCTCCCAAAACTGTAGACTTTCGTTCGACCATTAAAACAACGGTTGACCTGGTTTTCGTAGTGTAAAATCCTAGGTTTGTAGTATTTGCAGTGTAACGCCTATAGGGGTATCGATGGATGGTGAGAGATGGTGAGACGGATTCGCGTGTTCATGGCATCCGGATGCTCCAAATCGACGCTCCATGGCGACGCGTCCATGGCGACGGTCACCGATATCCCACGTTAGTCACACACGACACACGCTCTCCTGATATCCACAGGTCGGAGGAATGACCCACAGCCAGTGTTTCATGTCGCAGTGGTGCGGGTGAGAGCGCGGAGCGCCGGTTCGATCTTCGGCGTGCCTTTTTCGGTCGGAACTCATGCGTTCGACATGGTTGATCCTCACCAAATCACCAAACACCTCCACACCTACCTGAACCCGACTCTACAGGTGTTTCTTGGTGGCAAGTCCGGTGCCCAGGTTCACCACCTGTCAGGGTCCCAAAACAACCTGTCGGAGGGTCCTGGTATACGTAAACAAGTATATTCCAGGACCACGGAGTTCGGATGGTTGATGGACACCCCCTTTCCTATTGTATGTTCCATCCAAACCACCACCCCTTCCGTGCTCCTGGTGATCCTTCACTCTGTTTGGTACCACCCCTTTCCGTGCTTCCGGACATGGATCGTCCTCACCCGCAGCCGTCCGCGTTCCGCTTTCCGCCTTCCGCCCCCCACCGTGGCGGGTGCGACGGTCCTCGAGGTACCGGCGCACGGACAACCAGCTCTTCGTGCTTGCGGACGACCAGGCGCCCCGGTGGATGCCCGGGGCCTCGGCAGCGCGGAGGGAGCGCGGATGGGGCGAGTCCGGTGGAGGATGCCGGGCCGAAAGAGGATCCGGGCCGAGCCGGCAGCAGTGAAACCATCAACAACCCCTTAGGGCTCCTGGCCTAATTGCTAATGTGGTGATGGATGGTTATGGTTGGGGGGTCTAACCACCTTCTGAGGATATGGTTGGAGCCCTAGGGAACATTCATTCAACAACCTGGACCTTCAAAGAGGTGTTCCATGGAGATCCACAAGTTTAGTGTATAGAGTAGTCTCCCGGAAAATTCTTTGAAGGTGCTGGAACCTGGCTTTCCCTAGCATGAACACATGTTGTTTTTTGTGTATTTGAACATCAGCTGCATTTTGCATTGGACACTGAGGGCCACTGATACTTGTATACAGACCGGGGGGGGCGCAGAGACTCGCGTCCGTCACCGTGAACGGGACCTGTGCTCAGGACCTGTGCTACAGTGCTAGATAGCACGACCATGGCAGGCGGGGAAGGGGCGTCTATCAGATTCAGTCCACCTGGTCACCAAGAACACGTGCCACTGGAGGTGGCCTCGGGCCCATTGCTCTATATAAAGGCTTTGCTTCGGGTCCATTTTTCCCCCGGGGAGGTTTGGTCCGACCTGCATGGAGAGCCCGAGCTCGGGTTCGGTAGCTAAGACTCGCCTATTTGGAGCTACAGAGAGGAGAACGAGAGGTGCCGCAGTGCCTGCATGCCAGTCCAACAGAGGTGGAGAGTGACCAGGTCACTAGGACCCGTCACCAGGGGTACCGAACTAGGATAGTCGAACGTTCGGGTTCTTCAACCTGGCTGAGCATCAAGTGTGCTGCAATGACAGCAAGTGTGCCGCACGCTGGGACCCGCAACTGGCCAGCGAGCAAGAAAACAGATGCAACATCCCAATCGTGGACGGACCATCAACAACCGGTGTCGAGCGTCGTTTCAACGAGTCTTTTTTTCCACAAACAGATATCTCATAGAGTCATACAGAGTCATACATATTTTCCAGGATCATAGACTGCTCAAACAAGGCCAACAATCACTTAATTAGCTCCTAAAGTCCCCATGGACGAAGTGCTATCCATGGCAGGAAGTCGGGGACCAACTTGTCTCCGATGTGACGACGAAAACCACCCAACTCGCGAGACGTGACCCTGGATACCCCGGGGTCGCCGGGTCGCCATGGCGATGCAGCGAATTTCAGCAAGGCAGCCGAATGGTGAAGTCATGGTTCTTGAAGTCACGCTGGAGACAACAGGCAAGGAGCTCAAGCGGCAGATCAAGGAAAGGCAGCCTTGGGACGAGCTTACTCACAGCACTACGGGTGTGGAGATCATTGTCGGAGACAACCAGTTGCTGGCCAATGACGCAAAGGTATTGGAAGCTGGAATTGCTGAAGATAGTGCTGTGACGGTTGTCTTCAAACCCAACAAAGTCATATGCTCCAACGAAGATGCAATTGCAAGTCTTGGTGGCATCGTTGACTTCGAATTGTTGCTTGTGGTCGAAATTCCCAACGATGAAACTCAAATTCATGAATGCGCTTTCAGACATTGCGACAGATTGGCCAAATTGATCATCCCGGAGTCAGTGACCCACATTGGGCACCGGGCTTTTTTAGATTGCATCTCTTTGGTTGACTTGACCATACCGAACTCTGTGACCCACATTGGGAATTATTCCTTTGCGAGTTGCAGTTCTTTGGCAAACTTGACCATCCCGGACTTCGTGACCCACATTGGGGAAGGTGCCTTTTTGAATTGCAGCACTTTGGCAAACTTGACGGTCCCGGACTCAGTCACCCACATTGGGGACCGCGCTTTTAAGGGTTGCGGCTCTTTGGTGAACGTGACCATCCCTGACTCGGTGACCCACATTGGGACTTTTGCCTTTCAGGGTTGCAGCTCTCTGGCGAAATTGACCATCCCGGACTCAGTAACACACATTGAAGAATACGCCTTTTCAGATTGCAGCTCTTTGGCAAGCTTGACCATCCCCAACACTGTGACCCACATTGGGAATAATGCCTTTGTGAATTGCAGTTCTTTGGCAAACTTGACCATCCCAGACTCTGTGACCCACATTGGGAACAGTGCCTTTCCTGGTTGCAGCTCCTTGGCGAACTTGACCATCCCAAACTCTGTGACCCACATCGGAGATGCTTCCTTTGCGAGTTGCCTCTCTTTGGTAAACTTAAACATCCCGGACTCCGTGACTCACATTGGGGATTCTGCCTTTGAGGATTGCATTTGTTTGAGCAACTTGACCATCCCGGATTCTGTGACCCACATTGGGACCAGTGCCTTTGCGTGTTGCACCTCTTTGACAAACTTGACCATTCCGAACTCAGTGACCTACATTGGGAATGATGCCTTTAATGGTTGCACCTCTTTGGCGAGCTTGACGGTCCCAGACTCGGTCACCCACATTGGGAATTGTGCCTTTGCTGATTGCAGTTCTTTGGTAAACTTGACCATCCCGGACTCTGTGACCCACATTGAGAAAGGTGCCTTTGCTGGTTGCAGCTCCTTGGCGAACGTGACCATCCCAAGCTTTGCGATTCACATTGAGGATGGTGCCTTTGAGAATTGCAGCTCTTTGGCAAACATCCCGAAGTCAGTGACCGGCATAGGGCTGACAGCAGTGTTGAGAGGCACAAACTAAAGAATAACTCTGGACGGCTGGGTTTGTTCCCTGTCGTTTTGCATCATCGCTGTCGTCGTCGACCTGTCACTGGCCTGCAGCGACCTGGTCGAGAAATTCATGGACACTGCGTGAGCAGTGAGAGGTGCAAAAGAAGCATCATTGTCATGAATGATACCATGTCATGAATGCGAATACAGCTGGTTTGGTCCCCAACTCAATGGGGTTAGTGTGGCTGGCTAAAGCAGTTCTGGTTGGGAAAATGCGTGCTGGCAGCTGTTGGTGTTCGGCACAATGATTCTTTTGTTTCCACCTTTTGACCTCAAATTAATTCGCAGGAGAATCTGTTTTTTGTGGCTTCAGTAGAGGACCCACTGCCATCCCGGTCGATGGACTTCGGAGATGAAGCTTTTCACCCGCCATTTCCGTAGTCCACTGACTAGGACTGGGAGTAGGTCATCCCACTGACTGCCCAAATATACACATGTCGCATCAACTCTCGAGTAACATTCTGAATACTTTCAGGACCTTCCAAGAGGTGTCTATAAATAGCCTCTTAGTGGTTAAGGGGTGCCCAAAAACCACCGGACTTGGTGTCGGTCCTGGTTCAGGGATGTTATCGCCATTTCGCTCAGTGAATCCCACCTATTCCACCCCCAAACCGGGCGTCTCCCGGTCAAAACACGCGCACATACCCCGCACTCGGCCGCGGTCGAAACCGCGACGACGCCGTCCACTCGACGCCGAAGCCACCACCCCGACCGGATGACGAGGTGCTGACAAGTTCGACAACTTTTTCGTCTGCAGAATACCTGAGGAGGTGGGAGGAATCATCCGTCGCGTCGCTTGTCCCGACGCGTCGGGTGGTCTGATTCGGTCTGTTTCTAGGAGTTTTCGTGCGGGTCGGTCTGTCGGAAACAGCATCAGGGAGCCCTGGGTCGTTCGGCCGACCACGGGGTCGTTCGGTCAGGTCAGGGCAGGTGACCTGGACCAGGTCGACAACTGGATCTCCGATGTTTGGTAGCTGAAGTGGAGATGACCTACGTAAGTGGACCTGGTGGGGACCTGGCAGTGGACGACACTTGGGGTGCTGGACTTGGACCTTCATGGATCTACCAATGCTTCATCTGCCGAAGCTTCATCTACCAGGGCCCCTGGTGCCAGCGGGTGGTTCATGGACTGGATACCTCTAAGGAGCTAGAATTGGACACCTTTGGCCCGTGGGCTCTGGTATAGAACCAGCCAGGTAGCCAGGTAGCCAGACTGCATATATGCGTTGATCGAGGAATCCGAACTCTGGATCATCCTGGAGACCTCGGGGAGTTCAGTCCAGGGTAGTCCAGGACGGTTCAGGCTGGGTCCTGGTAGGGTCCTGGACCTCATTGAGTATACACCCTGGTTTCGTCCAGTCGACCATGACTTGAAAACGGTCTGACGATGACTCGGTGATCCGAGTCCAACTTCCTGAAACCTTCAGTCGGTTCTTCAAGATCGTCGGTTCCTGGACTTCTAGAGAGAGACAGACTGGTCTTGCAATGACCCGGGCCCAGTCCCACGAGGTCCTTAACGAGGTCCTTGAGACCTGTACCCAGACACTCCATCGGGAATGCCAGGTTTGCCTATACATTGGGGTGGTGCCAGAGGGGTCTTTATGGGGCGGCATATTATACAGTATGGCTTGCGTGTTTCCCATGACCTGTATAACAGTCAATAAATGATCATCACTATTTTTGAGAAAGGCCTTTACTAACCATCATGGTCCACTGCTACAGGGAATGGGATGCACCCAAAGTATGGCATACACCAGCACCACCCAGTTCGGGTGGCTCTTGGATGAAAAATACCTCTTCGGGGGTTTTCTATAAACCATCCGACTTGGGTGGTGGGTCCTGGTAGCGTTTCGTCGTGGATCATTGACCACCTTCGTTCCGGTGTTCCGGTGTGTGCCACGCGGGTGTGGTCCGAACATTGGGAACGAGGTATGTGAAACGAAAGAAGTCCAGAAACCAAATAGCCAGTGGCGGATTTGGTGGCGAAAACCAGCCGATGGGCTGCTTTCTATCAACCGGCTGGAGTCCAGTTCGACCCGCATCCAAAACCGTGAATGGAAACAAGCCTCCCCCAGGAGTCACAAGATGGGGTGCCGAACTTGGAGGTTAGGGGTGCCCATTATCCACTCACTTAGGGACCAACCACCACCCCTTTGTGACCCCTGGCCGTGAGTCTATGGTTCTTACCTCGTTTTTACCATACCTGCGGGGCTCCTAACTCGGCCGCCCCCCTCTTTCGGGGCGATGGGGGGGTCGGGGGGGGGGGGGGGGGGGTGCTATGGGGGTGGTCCAAGCACCAAACCTGAAGAGAGCCGGGCCAGGCCAGGAGTATGACCATGGACGGATCCAGATCCGCGAGTTGCAAGGGACCTTACTGGACTCTGGTGGCTGGAAAAAAGGCCTAGGGATCTGCCTCTCCAGCTGGTCCTCCGACTCACGATAGATAGGAAATGGTCCTGGTATCCAGTGCAATGGAGTGCTTTCCAGGACCCGACTCTATCACCAGTCAGTACAGTCAGGACCCCACTCTGTAACCATGTTTTTGAACAGGAAAATCAGGTCGATGGATGATTTCTGGGGCCTCTAGTAGGAATGTGTTCCGAAACCGAGCTGGCGCCTTGGCAAGGCTCGGGATGACGAAGGTGCCATGGGTTGGGGATGGAAGGTGAGTGGGTGGAGGCCGTGTCGTGCGCTGCAGGAAGTCCGTCTTTTAAAACGGGAATGATCTGGTTTTGTACTGTAAAACCCTTGGTACAACAGCTCGGTTGTTCAATTCAGAACAGGCTATAAATGGTGGGCCACAACTTCCAATTGCCAGCAGTCACGTTCGACGGGGTGCGATCCATGGAGGTAGTCGGGGTGCCCCGTCGTCACCTCCACTCACTTGGGGATCAAACACCACCCCTTTGTGACTCCAAAGACTATATTTTGACCGGCTGAAGTAAAGGAAGTTCCCGGACTCAGTTCCCCGTTCGTCAGACCATTCTTTTTATAGTCGACTGGACGAAACCAGGGGTTTTATGTTCAATGTCTCCAGGCGGCGATCATACGGGGCTTCGACTGAAGGCGCGGGTTGGGCGCGGTTGGGCGTTGGCGCCGTTGGCGAGTGATCTGAGTGATCTGATCACATCCGCCGCCCAGTTGGCGGGTGCGGCATCATGGCTGGATATAACCCCCATGGGCCCCATACACTCCCAACAGAGGTTGAAGGACCCGAACTAGCCTATCCCAGTTCGGTACCCCAGTAAGGTCCTAGTTCAGGTCACTGGCTACCTCTCTTGGTCCATGGGACTGGCATAGGACTGCCGCCCCAGAGTCTGACCCCCCCCTCTCACACCACCCCGAAAGCCGTGAAATGAAGGCGTTTCATCCAGTCTCATGGGTCGTTGTCTGGGATACGACAACGAGGTTTCACCATCCATTTTTGGGAGCGTCTTTAAATATCTTTAATATTATAACCAAGACGGGGTGCCGAACTTGGAGGTAGTCGGGGTGCCCAGCTACTCCACTCACTGGATGGGACGAGCCACACCACCCAACTCCATGTGACCTCTGGAATATTGTCAGACGTGTCTTCATCATGGCTTCGAGAACATCGAGAACAGTTCATGCTGGACTACCCCACACTACCGGCCGTTCGGCTTCCAGACAGGGCACCCCGAAAAGAGAGGGTCCTGGTATAGCTGTATACATGTACTAGCACCCGACTCTACAGGTGCGTCCTGGTGACAACAGGTGCCCAGGTTCACCACCTGTGGTCGGGTCTCCAAACAACCTGTTGGAGGGTCCTGGTAGGTGCATGTCATGGGTGCGTATACCCAGCTGCACGCCGCCACAGCGCCGGTCGACCGGTCTAATCACCCCCGGTCGAGCGCTCACGCCAGCCTCGTTGACCAGTCGGACAGAAGTCCAGTGGTCCAGTGGTCCAGGTCCGAAAACGGTACACCCTGGTGGCGACGATCTCGACCCTGGGGTCACCACTGGTTGGTAGAGGAAAACCATCGGACCCAGGGGGCCATTGATTGTCAGGGTCTATGTGAGTTGACTCGGGAGTGGATATCCGTATATCCGTACCCAGACGCGACCGACTGGAAGGTGCCAGGTCTTTCTGCGGCATAAATCGGGCGTGTATGGGTACTGCTGGATTGAAAAGGGTCGACGGTCACAGGAGTTGAAGTGGGAATCAGGAATCGACGTGACTCAGAGTGGTCGAACCACCAGGCTTTGGACCAACGGTGCCCAGATCCCAACCACGCATTTTCCATCCAAAATGGCTAGTACAGGTCCCAAAACCAGCACCCTCCCTGCCAGGTCTCCTCTGAGGTAGCTGAAATGGAGACTTAAAGGTGGACCTGGTGACCTGGCAGGTCTCGGGTGCTGGTACATGTCATATTTGGGCAAGTCTTGGCAAGTCATTTCCAATGAAAGATTCCATCATTACTCATTACCCATCTTGGGTTGGCAGGTGGTCTTTTCTCGTACCGTTCCTGATCTTTCTTGCTCAGTCTCCATCCCAATGTCTATTTTCGACCACACGTCTCTTGCCCCAAACCACTGCCCCACTCTTGCGACCTTTCCGCTTCCCCAAATACTTCAAGCGAAGAACCACCCCATTAACCCCTCAGAACATGTATAGAATACCCCATTAACCACCTCTATACTCCATAGAATATTTGCCGCCTCAATCCCTCAGGCACCACCCCAGACACTCCCAGCATCAGGAACTCGGGGTCACCTGGCGAACAGCCGCCGCCCCAGCCCACAGACCTCGACCTCCAGATCCACCTCCAAGAAGGTCCACTCCAGTCCCAGGTTGTGTCGTCACATGCTTCAACACTCCGCTCTCACCGTCTCTCCCGTTTTTCCGTCGCCCGCGGGGCCCCCCTGAGGCGGACACCGCGTATTTGACGGGAGCCACCCCGAAGTTAGACAGCATCGTCCAGTTCCACGTAGGCGGCGGCCGAATGCCGCGGCGCGAAAACGACGCCCGGGGGCATGGCATGCCGACCGGTCGTCCACGGCCGGAGGTGTTTCTGATTTTTTAAGGTGCGTTGGGGGGGTTTAGAGGTCGAGACCACGGGGAAAAAGAGGTTTCTGGTTGGTCAGGAAGTCTGGTTGGTCTCTGACCCTGTTTGGCGGTTTTGGTCCGATGGTGAAAGCCTTCTCCAAGAACCACGTCTTGCGTCTTGCTCCGTGTCTTGCGTTTTGGGTCCAGGCACTTGGAACTGGCATCGATCCCCTCGGAGCCGCGTGAAGCCTCGAGGGTCAACCCCTGCAGATAAAAACAACTGCTTGGGTCACCTCATGTCACTGTGGATCTTAGGTCACTGGAATATGTGGTGCTCCAATGTGTCCCTTTCTTTCACCATCTTCCAACCTTCCAACCTTGTGGCACAACATCTAGCACAAGCAAGTGAACACCAGGAACTTTAGGCCCCCAGGTTGTGCATGGTCAATGGACACCTCAGACACCTCATGTCACTACTCCCCCCCCCATGGCACTGTTTACAGCACTGCCGGGTGAACCTCACACCCTCTTTCACCCCCCGGACATCCTCCGGACATCCTCCGGGCCAACCACGGTGCGTGCGCAGGTGACACCGTGACGGCCTTGGAGAAGACGACCTTGGCACAGGGCGGTCACCTGGCGCCGAAGAATCGAATTAGCTCGCTGATCTCGCAGTGAACAGGCTCCTGGAAAAGACGTTTGGATTCTTTGTGCCCCCAGCTCGTAGTCATGATCCACTTAGGAGGTGAAATGAGTCAGGACTGGAGCGTGGAAGATAAAAGCGCTTCCATGTTTTCAATGGCGTCCATCGGCCTCCAAAAGCCAGCAAACCCTAAGGTAGCGAGTTGATTTGCTACTCCACCTTGCTAGGCGCGGCCTTTTTTGAGACACGACTCCTTGGTGGAGAAATCCGTCGACCATTCGCTGGCGTTCCATTTCTGCTTGCTGAAACGTGGGGGTGTAACATTTGTAACCCAATCAAGACATGGTGGTAAAGCGCTTGCGCTTATGCACGTGTTTCGTTGGTCAACACAGGGATTTTCAACTTTTCTTTTACGGGTCGTTTGGCCAACTGGTCGTCATTTGGGGAGTGCAACTGGTCGTCATTTTTCTTGAACAAAACCGGTCGCCCAGCAACGGGCGGTTTTCCCGAAGAAGCATGGAGCACCGAACCGTTCTGATTTTGATTGGATTTAGTCTACAAGACTAGGAGAACACAATGTCTTTTGGTCTTTGACGGCCAGGTTTGTTGGGCTCGGCATCCTGTTTCACAGGGACTACTTCAATCGGGACACCATCATCTGGTTCACTGATTCACACTGGTCAGTTTGGTTTCATGTAGCCCCAAGTTGGGGCGCTTGAGATGGACCCACCCCTCCAAAGGACATCATCCAGCACCCTCCAACAGGTCTCCGAAATGGTGGCGTTTGCAGACTTAAACTTAAAAGTGTCAGGTGGTGAGCTGGCAGGTCTGGGGTCCAGGATGAGGTCGGTATTTCATGTGAAAGTCGAATGGCGGACACTTTTTCACTTGACCGACCACCAGACTTGACCGACGACCAGAGCTGCTTGAACACGTTTTCACACAGAGATAGGACTGGACCAATGGGAGGGGCTTATGGGAACGACCATGCAAAGACCACTGGGAAGAAAGACCGTTGTTAGGTAAAGACCACTGAATCACTGATGCCAGGAATCGTAACTGGGGAGTTGGCAACTAGGCCAGCCATGTCTATGCAAATTTCAGCATCAATGGTGAACGGCGAGCAGATTTGTTTGGACGTGATACCAGAGATGACCGGCAGAGAGCTAAAGCGAAAGGTTAAAGAAATGCAGACCTGGGATGAGTTTACCAGCAAAACCACTCTGGTGGAGATTCTGATTGGAGACAGGTTGCTGGGCAATGATCAGAAGATGGCGAATGCGGGGATTGACTCAGATACTGTGAGCATTGTGTTCAAACCACCGTTCACTGCGAGGTGCTCCGACAGCCGAGACATCGACTGCGATAGCGGGCTTTATCTCATTGTTGAAATCCCCGGCCACGAAACGTGCATCTCCGAAGGGGCCTTCGAAGACTGCACCATGTTGGCCAAAGTGATCATCCCAGACTCAGTCACCGAGATAGGTTGCCGGGCCTTTGCTAGTTGCTGTTCTTTGCTTTCCTCCAGCATCCCGAACTCAGTCACCCACATTGGGCGCGGTGCCTTTTTGAACTGCAGTGCTTTGGAAAATTTGATCATCCCGGACTCTGTAACCCACATTGGGAACGATGCCTTTCGGACATGCAGTTCGTTGGTGAACTTGACCATCCCAGACTCAGTGGCACACATTGGATTTGGTGCCTTTTGGAACTGCAGCGCTTTGGCAAACTTGACCATCCCAGACTCTGTGACCCATATCTGGGATCGTGCCTTTTTGGGTTGCAGCTCTTTGGCGAGCTTGACCATCCCGGGCTCAGTGACCCATATTGGGAGTGCTGCCTTCAGGAGTTGCAGCTCGTTGGTAAATCTGAAGATTCCAGACTCTGTGACCCACATTGGAGATTGCGCCTTTTCGGATTGCAGTTCCTTGACAAACTTGACCATTCCGGACTCTGTGACACACATTGGGGACTACGCTTTTAGCAATTGCACCTGTTTGGCAAACTTGACCATGCCGGACTCTGTGACCCGCATTGGGGATGGTGCCTTTCAGAGTTGCAGCTCTTTGGCAAACTTGACCATTCCCGACTCAGTGACCCACATTCGAAATGGTGCCTGTGACAGTTGCAGTGCTTTGACCAACTTGAACATCCCGGACTCTGTGACCCACATTGGGACCAATGCTTTTAGAAATTGCAGTGCTTTGTCGAACTTGACGATTCCGAACTCTGTGACCCACATTGAGAATGGTGCCTTTCACAGTTGCAGGTCGTTGGCAGACTTGACCATCCCGAACTCAATGACCCACATTGGGGACTACGCATTTCGAGATTGCAGTTCTTTGGCGAACTTGATCATCGCGGACTCTGTGATCCACATTGGGATTTGTGCCTTTCAATGTTGCAGCTCTTTGGCGAGTTTGACAATCTCGAACTCAGTCACCCATATTGGGTACGGTGCCTTCGAATATTGCAGTTCCTTGACAAACTTGATCATCCCGAACTCAGTGACCCACATTGAAGACGGTGCCTTTGGCTTTTGCACCTCTTTGGCGAGCTTAACCATCCCGGACTCAGTGACCAACATTGGAAATCGTGCCTTTTTGGCTTGCAGCTCCTTAGTGAGCGTGACCATCCCAGACTCGGTGACCCACATGGGTTCGAGTGCCTTTGAGGGTTGCTCCTTGCTTCAGTTGACTATCCCAGACAATAACGTGACTGGATGCCTGACTGGAGGCCTCGCAGGCCGCGGAGCACCCTGCTGAGAGAAAGGCAGAACACAGCTCAGCTCTGCTTCGAGAAAGGCAGCTTTGCTGGTTTCGTGCCAGAACACAGCAGAACCAGCTCTGAGAATGTGACTGGGAACTAACCAGTCCAGAGCAGTTGGGCAACAGCTCTGGTTTTGGGCTCAGCGCTTCAAAACAGCTGTTGGGCTTGCCCGAACTTGTGACGAGGAGTACCGCAATTTGGCGGAGTCTGGGCGCGTGCATACCTGCGTGGAGGTCTGAGCTGGTGCCTCGGGCGGGACAAATGAGATTCTCGCCCTGAAAAAGAACGTCTGAGCCGAACGGTGATGCCCCATCCTAAGATTGTGACCTCTGAAATAGACACCACCCCAACCCAGAGGCTCCATGTATTGAATATATGCCGATCAGTTGGGGCAGCATATATGGCATATACATGGAGTGTATCGGCTAAGAAGTTCTGACGTTGAAGCCTCAAAATGGTTCCAAGCGCAGTGCCCAGGTCTGATGACGTTGCAGTGAGGATGCTGGCATGGGATACTTATATTGGCACACACTCGATCTTCCAACTATGTCACATGTTTGCCAAGTCCTTGGCTTGCTTTATAGATGAAGATCCATGAAGACATGTTGCACAGTTTTCCAGATCCATGCAGGTATAGAGTCAAACTATACATATTCACCCCATGTATGACCTGTTACTCTTCCATCGGAGCGTCATCCGAATCGTTTGTTGCCCCCCCCCCTCAAGTGTGTCCACCGGGTGTCCACTCCTTGCGGCCTCGGCCCTGCGCCATATAGGGCCCTGCCCTTCCCTCGGGTGGGATGTGTTCACCCACCTGGCTGGGCACTGGGTCCCACCGGTGCCGTCCGATCCTCGCCACCGAGAAGTGCCGATTTCGCTGCCAGGCGCCATTGGTGCATTCTATCCTTTCGCAGGAAAGGATGAGGCCGCTTCTTCGGCCCACCCACCATCTTCACCCTCTCGCACCCGCACGAGCTGGGTTCGTTTTGGAGAACACCGTGTCGAAGGGACACGGTTTGGAAGGGACGTGGGGGTCGGAGGGGCGATGACTTCTGCGTAGCTTGGGAGCATTGCATGGCAGCGTAGCTCGGCCGTGCAGTGGAGCGTGGGTTCCGATTTCTGCAGAGATACCCTTCAATGATCCAGTGAAAGGTGATGTTCTTTGAAGTGGCACGGTTTCCAATACATAGTGGGGATTCGCTTTTCTATCCATTTAGGGGTCTATCTATAGGCACTGCGCACTGAGACTCTGTAAAAAAGAAAAAGGCACGACCAGCCAGGTAGGAAGTCTTGTTCCAAGATCCGCCACCCGAAAAGAGGTCGGACTGAAATGGTTGTATTTCGAACCAGGACATGTTAGAAAGTCTTGACTCGGATCTGAGCCGCCTAACATGTTGTGCTCCTTCCCCAATTTCCCTTTCAACTTGAGCGCAGTTGTCCATTCGAGCCCACGCCGTTCTCGCCCTCTTCGGACCTCCACCCCTTTGGCGCCCCCCCGAAGTCAAGTTAGAACGCCGATGCGAAACGCAGCGAAACCTCACGTTCGGTCTATCCTTCGGTCGAGACGCCGACCACGTCGGTCCTGTGTCTTCCACACTCGACCGACGAGCCCGCGCGTCGGACACCACGACCACGTCTCTGTCCGGCGACGCGTCGCATCGGCCGCGCGTCGTGTTCTTCGGTTCACCAACGAAGGTTGAAAGACCCTATAGGCTATCCCAGTTAGGTACCCCTGTAGTGTCCTAGTGACCTGGTCACTCTCCACCTCTGTTGGCAGTTGGACTTCTTCCAACACTTGGAGATGTTCGTCCGAGCGGAGAAGCCGCCGCTCTGTGGCCGGGACCACATCATGTGCGCCACGACCGGTCGGTCATGGTCGGACACATGCGCGAGATGCTGACCTGAACGGGGCTCGGTGGATTGTGGGTCGGTTCTTCGGACCGGTTTGGAGCCCGGTTTTGTTGGTTTCGTCGTTTCATCTCGTTTGGTGCTCACCAGGGTTGGATGTTCACTGGTTTGCTCGTTTCATCTCGTTGAAACGAGCAAACCCACCTATTTTGATTTATAGTCTTGTGTCTGATCGTGTAAATGAGAAGCTTAGGACTTTAGGAAATGCCTTGTGGCGCCGAATGAATATTGGTGCATTGGTCAGGTCAGGAATGAAGGACATTACTCTCCATGTGTCACCCTCCTTGGCTTCTCCGTCTCCCTCACGGGTCCACTTTTGTGAGCTCTTGAGCAGACACCTGGTCAGTCCGCAGTTTTTGCTGTACTTGTCACGTGTTTCAGTGGCGGGTACGACATACGATGACTGGTTCTCAGGAGCGGAATGAGGGAATGATTCCGATTCCTTGGGATCCAGCCACCCTCATTCCCTTCATTTCGCACCAGTCATTGGCATTTCGTGGTTGTGTTCTTCTGCGACGTACGCGGTTGTTCGATGGTCACCCCCGGGGAAGCTCCGTAGACCGGCGTCGGTCACCGGTGATGAGCCTGAGCACGGTTTTGGGTGGCCTCCACCCCGAAGGGAGTCGAAAGAGAGCCAAAGGGCGTCGGTCACACCGAAGCCAAAAGGACTCCTTTTTTCAGGCTGACATGGCTGAGATGGGGCTGGAGAGGGTTTGAAACTTCTTCGATTGGGAGAATCCTAAGCCAGCCCACTCCATGTATCGCAATATATTGACCCCATCTCCAGTGGGAGAGTCTTAAGCCATGTTTTTTGGGTTACAAGTGTTCTTTGATCGTGCACCAGACTGTTGCAGCCTGGCTTTATATAGCTATCGACACATTCTGGTCAAAGTATGATGCACACAAATGCCAAGATGTCCATTTTGCAAGGGTCTAGACGGCCTAATTAGATCTCTTTTTGACTCCCTACACCTCCAAGTACCTCCTCATAAGGTATTTGGACCCTCCAAGTTCCTCCACCTAGATCTCTTCTTTAAAAGGTATAGAAGAGTGGCTGACCCCCAGTTTGACCGGCTGGAATCCAGTCTAGCACCCAGTCAAACCTTTTCGGCCAGCAGAACTGAAGTCACACAAGTTGAACCATCCCTCTTGAGGTGACCACCTGAAGACTTCAAACTTGAAACCCGCCAGCTTAAGTAGTCACTCGTCACTAGTCCATATGTACACGGATTGTCTGGGATATCTCCCTCTTCAGTTTGTTTTATTCTTCCTCCTTTCAGGAGACCGGTTCTTCAAGACCTGGTTTCTTTGGGAAATGCGACCCAAACGCCTGTGTTTTGCGCGGGGAACATGTGCTTTTTCTTCTTCATTCGAACATCAGGGATCATACGGGTCTCCACTTCTACAACAGACCTATACCGTTTTGTAGTTTTCCTGCGTATTTTGTTATTATGCGTTCTTGCCGAAAAAGTTCATGAAACAAGAATGCCTAAAGGGAGAGACATGGCAAACATATACAAGAATCGGACATGGAACATCTTCAGCCATGGCCATGAGACTTTCAGCTTTGCAAGTCAATGGTGACATGATTCACTTTGAAGTCACGCCAGAGATGACAGGTCGAGAGCTAAAGCAGCAAATCAGAGCTGAGCAGTTTCCGGACGAAGTGACTCGCAGTACTACCGTGGTGGAGATTATTGTTGGAGACAGGTTGCTGGGGAATGATGAGACGCTGGCAGATGCAGGGATTGCTGCAAATACTGTTGTAAGCGTTGTCTTCAAACCAAACATCCTCAGATGCTCCAACAAAGGTGATATTGCGAGCTGCAGGGAAATGGACTCAGAACTGCAGGTTATTGCTGAAATCCCAAGCGACAAGACGACAGTCTCAGCTTGGGCGTTTGCAGAATGCAAGCAACTGGCCACAGTGACCATCCCAGACTCGGTGACGCACATTGGGAATTGTGCCTTTGCTCATTGCACCTCTTTGGCAAACTTGACCATCCCGAACTCTGTGACCCACATTGGGACTGGTGCCTTTATGGGTTGCAGCTCTTTGGCAAACTTGACCATCCCAAACTCAGTGACACACATTGAGAACGTTGCCTTTGCTAATTGCAGCTCTGTGGCAAACTTGACCATCCCGAACTCAGTGACCCACATTGGGAAGGGTGCCTTTCTGGGTTGCAGCTCTGTGACAAACTTGACCATCCCGGACTCGGTGACGCACATTGGAATTGATGCCTTTGAGGGTTGTGGGTCTTTGGCAAGCCTGACGCAATCTCAGTGATTGGGCCCACACGGCGGAAAAGAGGTGCGAGCTGAAGACGAACAGACTCGTTTTTACAGATCTAAGAGTCTAAGAGGTGTTTGTGTAAGGTCGGTTGCATGGCTGTCATCCCCTAGATCCTGAGTATGGCCCAAGAAAAGAGAAGTCATAAGACATCATTATATAAACCTGCCTTTTTTTTTGCGGCCTCCACCATTTGGAATGATTCATGAAGTCTGAGCCCTCTGCAATCAAAAAGGATCCTTGAGCTAGCCTGCTAGGTGTTAGAGCTCGTGCCAGTCTCAACTCGCAACCAACGAGACCACAACACCCTATGTTAGCATTTCGCTCAAAGCACCATTTCGTTCAGCCCATCTTGCAACTTTACTGTCTGACCATTGGATACCTGCAAGGCCTGCAAGTCCTGGTTGGGTCCTCCGGGTCCGTCATGAGGTGTGGCGCCGTCACAAGGCCTTCCTCAAGTCTGGTCACAGAACTGTTTTGAGTCCAATGACCGAAGTGTTTTGCCCTAAGAATCCGGGCCTTCAAACAGATAGGGGCCCTGGTTCGGCCCCGGACCCCCGCGTTTCGGTGGAGAAGGTCCGACCCCGAACCCATGGAGAGCCCGTTCGGATTCTTAGGGTGAGAGGAAGTTGGACTCGAGGTTTTTCACCGCCGTGTCTCGTAACTTGCCCATCCTTGGTCTGTACCACTACGGCCGACTAAGGTCCGAACTTGAAGTGGTCTTTCAACCTCTCTTGGAAGTGGAGAGTCCAAACATGGTCATCTCCAAGGGTCTAGAGTCATGGCCATATGGCCGAACAAGGTGCCCAGCTACACATCCACGGCCCCTGGATGGGAACCAAACACCACCCCGTCTTCTTGTGACCCCTGGCATGGGTTTGTTGTTTTTGTTCTTCCTTTCTTGGGTGATCTTCAGCAGTTTGGCACCCATGTCTTGCGTGTCCTCGCTTTAAGAACGACTACCATGTCCTCGCTTTAATCACTTCGATCGACCCACACGGTCGATGTCTCGCTTCACGATCTGCAGCACAGCGATCCTAAAAGGCCCAGACACGACCTGTCTGGGACTGCCATGGGACTGCCGATCAGTTGGGGTGGTTGACTGGGGGTCTTTCTGGGTTCAATTATGTTCGACCGCCAAGTTCGGATCCTGTAGGTGACCTATATGTCACCTTTTTGTGGCCAAGACCATCCAAGTTCGGTGGTTTTTGGGGCACCCCGGTCATCACCTCCAAGAGGCGTTCTTGATAGACCCAAGAGGAGTTCGGAGGGTCCTGTGTGCAACATGATCCACCGGCATTGTAGCATTGCACGTGTCAGAAAAAAAATACTTGGCGAACCCGTTTGGAAACCCACAAACTGAACCATCAAGGACATACTTGGAGAAAGAAGCACCACCTGAAGCATTCAGGTTATCCCTTGCTTACTCTCTTGCAGTGGTGCTTGGCCGTAACTCTGGGTGCTCAAGGAAGACAATTACAAGACTCACTTAATATCGTATAATTGATCACGACTTAATATTTCAACGAGTCCCTTGAACTCCAATTTGGAAGTTCCAACGATTGTAAGTCACCTTGAATGTTCCAAAAACTCTTCCACTTCATGTCCCAAAAACCTCCGCTCTCCTTCCACTTCGAAGCTTCAAGCATGCATCCCTCCGCTTCTCTCCTGCCTTCTCTCCCGGTGAAGCCCACCATCCTCCACCCCTTCTTCCATCCGAACCCGGTCACCGTGCTGGTCGACCGTGTGGTCCGCTGATTTCGGGCGAGGTACCGCTCCTACCATTTCCCCGTCCAGAACTGCCGGGGGCGCCCAGCTCCCGCGGGCGGCTCGCGAAGAGCGAGGCTCCGTCCTGTCTGGACGAAGAAGTGAACATGGAGTACCTGGTCTGGTGAACGAACGCTGCGAAAAGAAGTGTGGAAAGCGAACGAGTTCGCAGAGAATGATGACTTAAGAGTACATCCTAGGCTGGTGACCCCGAGTCAGTAGGGACTATGGGGGGGCTTCCAGGCAGGTGACCCCGAGATCCAGCCAGGTGCTGTTGAGTCGTGTGAACTTGTATGATCAAACTCCAGTTTTACTCAGAGACCAGGAACTCCTGGAGTATCATGAGATCAGGAACTCCTTCTTTTCCCTGTCCGAGTCCAGGTCCGAGTCCACCAGTCCGATGGAGAAGACAGCTCCGACAACGGCTGACCTCTCCAAGTCGCCGAACGGGTGGAAATGGCGGGAGGCGAACTTCCCCCCTCAGCCCTTGTCCGACGGCCCGTTGGCCTGGCGGCTCAAAATGGGCCCTTTCTTTATAATAGCAGCATATAGCAGCCATAGAATCGATCTGATCGATCAAGTACGCCAACGAGATGTGAAAAGCAGATACGACATCTACCCTTACCCTGGAAGCCCAAGACTATTGAAAATGGTCCATCAATTCCTGTGACCCGAAGAAGGGCAGCTTTTGTTTACTTGGGTGGTGCCACATGTAGTCGAACTCATAGTCGACCTCTATGGTCTACCAGGGGCCCTGCAGACCATCAAAAACCTGGGTGTCCCTAGCAGCCTAGTTCATGAACTGAACAGCTGGCACCCCTCGAACTTGGTCGTTGATTTGGAACCATGGCGATGAGAATTTCAGCGCTCTCAGTGAATGGCGAGAGCTTCGACTTGGAGGTGTTGCCAGAGACCACAGGTAGAGAGCTGAAGCAGCAGATCAAAGAACTGCAGCGGAACTGGGATGACCTTACTCACAAAACGACTTCAATAGAGATCCTTGTTGGAGACAGCTTGCTGGAGAATGACACGAAGGTGACCGATCTCCATGACACGGTGGTGAATGTCGTTTTCAAGCCCAACACGGTGACATGCTCCGAGAAAGGTGCTTTGCGGGACTTGTTGGACCTCTCCGACCCAGGACGTTTGTTTGTAGTGGCGATCCCGAACCACGAGCATCGTATTTGCGAGAGAGCTTTTCAAGACAGCAGCATGCTGGGCAAGCTGATCATTCCTGACTCAGTGTCTCAGATTGAAGAGAGTGCTTTTGAGAATTGCAGTGCATTGGCGAGCTTGAGCATCCCAAAGTCAGTGATCTATATCGGGAAGAGGGCCTTTTGGAATTGTAGCTCCTTGGGGAGTTTGATCATCCCGAACTCTATGACCAACATTTCAGAAAGTACCTTTGCGGGGTGCAGCTCTTTGGCGAGCTTGACCATCCCAAGCTCAGTGACACACATTGAGAAGGAGGCCTTTGAGAATTGCCGTGCGTTGGTGAGCTTGATCATCCCGAAGTCAGTTTCCCACATTGAGGATGGTGCCTTTGGCTTTTGCACCTCTTTGACGAGCTTGACCATCCCTCACTCAGTGATCCACATTGGGAGAGATGCCTTCGTGAATTGCTGTGCTTTGGCAAGCTTGACCATCCCGGACTCAGTGACCCACATTGAAAAAAGTGCCTTTCGCAACTGCAGGGCTTTGGCATTTTTAAGTATCCCAAACTCAGTGACCCATATCCAAGACGGTGCCTTTCGTGATTGCAGCTCCTTGGTGACCTTGACCCTCCCAGACTCAGTCATCTACCTTGGGAATGGGTCATTTTGGGGCTGCCGCTCATTGGCGAGCTTAACCATCTCAGACTCCGTGACCCACATCGGCGAGGGTGCCTTCGCGTTTTGCCACTCCTTGACCAAGCTGACCATCCCGGACTCGGTGACCCACCTCGGGCCAGTCGCTTTGGAGAATTGCAGCTCCTTGGCGAGCTTGACCATCTCCAACTCCTTGACACGCATTGAAGATGGCACCTTTCGATTCTGCCACTCCTTGGTCACCTTCACTCTTCCAGACTCCGTGACTTCGATTGGGAAGAAAGCCTTTGAGAATTGCAGTGCTTTGGAGAACTTGACCATCCCGAATTCGGTCACTCACATTGAGGAGGAGGCCTTTTGCAATTGCAGCTCGTTGAGCCCTTTGACCATTCCATCGATGACCCACGAACGCACCCAACACCGGTGAGAACGTCGCGCGGTGGTTCCAACGCCCAAGGCGAGGCCGCGGATCCGCCACGGAGCCGTCGAGCGTGGAAGGAACTCATCACCCGCAAAAAAGGAGCCACTCAGAGGTGGGGAGCGAACCCGAACGTGACCGGCGATCCCAGGAACCGGTGCCCCAGGTGACTCACGGATCCGACTCGTGACCTGGTCACGAAAACCACCTCGAAAGAATGGCCCCGGAATCCGTCGACCGGAAGGGCTCGGTTCCACCGAAGGCTCGCCCCGCCAGGACGGCCCCGCGCGGGCGACGGGTTCGGGACGTGGGTTCGGGAGACCGCACGAAGCACCGCAAGGATTGATCGATCGGGGCCACTTAAGAGATGTATAACCCCTAGAAGTCCAGGAACCGACTATATTTTGACCAACTGAAGTAAAGCATATTCCTGGACTCGGGTCACCTAAAGACCATTCTTTTGATGGTCTTTGACTCCCAGGGTAACTGTATAACCTTACACCTCCAGCAGGTGACCTCCGACCCGGTTCGGTATGACTGGAGCCGACGGAACATGGCACCCGGTCCCCGGTCGTCCCACCGAGCCGACCCGGTTCGGTACGAAAACGGTTCGGCCAAACGGGTCAACACATGACTTGAGATCCCGAGGGTCCTCAGCGGTGAGGACGAAATGGAGCGGTGATGTGTACTGAGATCATGCGAACCACGTATCTGGCAGGCTAGGGATCAGAGATTATACCTGGACCCTCTGTTTTCGGGGTGTCCTGGCTGGACTACCCCACACTACCGGCCGTTCGGCTTCCAGACAGGGCACCCCGACAGGAGGGTCCTGGTATCATGTAGATCTGTTGATATCTGTTGATCAATCAACAAGCTCAGCCATGTTTGGAGGTTTCACAACCCATGTTTGGAGGGGTTGAAATGTCATGCAAGCAAAGAGTCTACATTGAGTCTACATGAATTTGAAGAAAAAGAACATCACAAGGAGCAACAATCACAAGGAGACTTGTATAGAGTCAGGTGCTCAGAAAAGAACTACATACCAGCACCCTCCAACAGGTCTCCTCTGGAGGCTTTTGTAGACTTAAAAGTCGCAAGTGGTGACCTGGCAGTGAGGGTCCTGGTACATAAAGGGGTGTTCCAAAAACCACTGGGCGATTTCGGAAGGTCCTGGTACATGGAGATGATGTTCAATGTTGTTTTTCCCCGTTGCAAATGACCCGTGTGGCCCTCCAAACACATGGAGGACCTGTCTGAAACACCAGGTGGGACCTTTATCAGGGAGATGGGCCACATGTTGGGACCAAAGTATACAGAAAAGTCCGTTTTAGGGAACCTAAATGACCATTTTTTGTTCATTTAGTCTTGAACTCCCACACCATGGGTCTTTCGAGGCATTGTGGAAGCTCGGCTGGTTTCTAAATCAGACAGAGCAATGTCATCACCTGGGATCATGGCCCCAGTGCCAGTCTCACGCCTTTCTCGCCGCCGCGTCGCCTCTTTCTCTCCGAACGTCGTCGTCCGGCCGGTCGGCTGGCCTCCGTCGGCGTCGTCGGCCTCAAAGGTGTGGACGGTGACTTGTGTGAGCAGTTCATGACGCTCTCCGCCGAGAAGCCGCTCGGTTCATCTCGGATCCGGCCGTGCGTGACTCGGAACGGGAAAAGGCTCGGTGTTCCCCCGGTCCGAGCGGCACGAAGATTCCCGGGGCGAACGGAGACCTGGGCGAACTGGCCGTAGCTAGGGCGTGTTTTTTCTGGAAGTGAGGAAAGAGTGTGAGCGTCTGAGGCGTCTTCCGTACGTCCCTCGATGATTCCATACGATTCAGCTCCTTTTTAATATATAATGTTCAAGCAAGGTCAGGTCCATTTGGGAGACCCACCCAATTTAAGACCATATTAGATGCTTCTTTGAGCAGCTTAGGCTTAGGCTTGGTCTAGAAAAGACCGCAGGCCTATACCAGGACCTTCCAAGAGGTGTCTACTGATAGCCCTTAGAGGTGCTTCGGGGTGTCCCAAAACCACCTGTCGGAAGGTCCTGGTATAGATATTGAACACATCGTAAGATGGGGCAAAAACACACCCAGCTGGCAGTGCATCCCAGGCAGTTCCCACAAGTACGAGTGAGGGGCCCGTTAGTAACCGGTCGAACTGGTGGAACCACTGGGACTCCCAACTCGCTCTCGTGGGTTGCCTGCCTGCCTGGATGCGGACAGCGTGCGTTTGCGGCGTCTCTGGATCCGGAGGTCGAACAGGAGGGGCACTCCCCACCCGACGGAAGCGCTTGAGCGACACTGGAAGCGACACTGGAAGCGAAGCCGCGAATCCGTCCGGGCCAAGGGTCGGACCCGACCCTTTAAGGGTCCGGAGCTGAAGCAGAGCCCCTATCTGTTGGTGAGGGGGCGTGGATTCTTAGGGGGGCTTAAGTGGAGGACCATCGGCCGCTTTCAGTACAACATCCCCCGAAGCAAAACCGACTGAAATCAGATGAAGGGTGGAAGCAATCTGTCGCCATGGGTGTTCTGAATCTGGCGCGGCCAGGCACCTGGCGCGGTGGAGATTGGTTCCGGTGCTTTATGTCTGACACAGACGTTGATGGTTCCCAAGTGAGAGCAAAGAAGCCAACCCATTTACAGAATCAGTGTTGCATGCTAGGCTGCTGCTATGGCTGCGAGCAAACTGAAGACAGACATCTAAAAGTAAGAATTAGCGAAAAAATCTGTTCAAATTCCAGTCTTGCGCAAGATCTTTGAGCCATGGCAAAGATGATTTCAGTACGGCAGCCGAGTGGTGAAGTCATAGTTCTCGAAGTCACGCCTGAGACAACAGGCAAGGAGCTCAAGCAGCAGATCAAGGATCGAAAGCCGAGCTGGGACGAGCTTACTCGAAACACCACAATTGCGGAGATTATTGTCGGACACAACCACTTGCTGGCCAATGATGCGAAGGTATTGGACGCTGGAATTGCTGAAGATCCTGTTGTGAGTGTTGTCTTCAAGACCAACAAGGTGATATGCTCCAACAAGGATGCGATCGCCAGTCTTGGTGGCATCGTTGACTCAGAACTGCTGCTAGTGGTCGAAATTCCCAACGGTGAAACGCACATTCTTGAGTTTGCTTTTTACAAGTGTAAAACATTGGCGAAGCTGACCATCCCAGACTCTGTGACCCACATTCAGAACAGTGCCTTTGCTGGTTGCTCTTTGGTGAAGGTGACTATCCCGGACTCGGTGACCCACATCGGGGATTGTGCCTTTCGTGGTTGCAGCTCTTTAGTGAACTTGACCATCCCGGACTCAGTGACCCACATTGGGGAAGGTGCCTTT